CAGCCGGGTTTTTTTGGGGCTATGTGTAACAGATAATTTCATTAAAACAGTCAGCAGCTCGTACTACGACACCCATAAGCCCACATTGCGTATGCGCAATGGTTTTCAAGCGGACTTAACTTGTTTGTGGCACTTTGTGAATGTGTGTGCATGTTTAATATGCAATGGCTAGGCTTATGTTTTGTACAAGGAAATCCTTTTACACCACATTGAGTTCCGTTGTTGCCGCCGCTTGTGGCATCCTCACTAACAACAGAGAAAATGATTCCAGCTGCAATTAGGCTTAAATATTTATACTCCGAGTGTCAATAGAATGCTAACTTTGCATCTTAATAGGCATGAGTTCATTAATTATTTCGTACAAAAGTTGACAGTTAAAACTAGGGAAAAAGGAAAATTATAAAGTTTTTGACTGCACCTTAAAGAAGTATTCCGTTTAGGATATCAATTTTTCAATAAAAGTTTTTTTGCAGCTTTCAGTTGCCATTCTCCGAAACAATTAGCAACCGAAAGTGGGCCAAACGAACTGTCAGGCAGGCAAACATCGAATCAGACCATCGAAGTGAAATGGAAATGGAAAATGAAACTGCTACTAAAAACGAAACTTGTGTTTTTCCATTTTTGTAGCTTGTTGGGTCAAGCCTTACCGACTCCCAGAAGGCAAAAAACGAAACTAAAAAACAAAAAAAAAAGAAACGACATCGAACTGCAAACTTCTGGGGTGATAATGATAATGATGATGGTAATGTTTTAAATAGAGTAGAGTGGACATGTCAGGAGCAGCACGTGAGCAAGTACACAGAGAACATATTTTGATGACAATAACGAACTAAAGCTGTTCGAGAACTCATGTAAAACTTATTTGTATCATTAATTGTTTTTTGTAAATTCTTTGACTAAAGCAAAGAATATATTTAATAATTATTTCTAAATAAAATAAGCCATTTACCCTTCCCTGTATCATATTTTACATTGAATGATGGTCCATATGTGGGAGCAAACCTAAATTGATGACAGAGATATTTTTCTCCATGTGCGCCTGTGAGTGGATGCTTTGTTCCGATGTGCGGTCACTGCCATGGGGCATGTTTTGTGTGGGCCACGGAGCGTATGCGTAACGAGTGCCCAAGTGGCCATCGCCATCTGCCCGTGGGCATACAAAAGGAATCGTTTTGCTTGTCATTTCGCCGATTCAATTAACGTAACAACTCGAAACAAAGCGGTGCTGCACAAAAACTCGATACTCGAAACAGCAAAGTGGACAAATCAGGGAGCCAAGGAGTCGCCTGTTCGCTCTTTTAATGGGCAATTACATTTTAATGAGAGTTTACCGCCACTGCCGCCGTCGCACCTCCTGTCGATAAATGCAAATTCGGCCAGGGGCGAAGTTCACCTTTAAAGGTCGCCGGTCTTAAAGCCGGGGGTCAGATCCCTTGTACTCCGATTACATTGTCAGTGCCCGCCTTTGAATGCAAATTTCGCATCCTCTGTTATTAATTTCCAGCCGCTCCCTCTTCCACCACATCGAACGTTTGACACATCAAAGCGTCCGCCTGACAGCAGCACACTCTGCTTTATATATTTTTTTTTAAATATGCGTGTGCGATTAAAAGAGTAACAGCAACTGAAACCGAAACAAACATTAAAGGGCCGACGCTTTCAATTGGAAAAAAAGAGGAGAAAAAAAAATCAGAGCGGCAGAATTATAATGAGTTTTGCCCGCTGCTCACAAACAGGCTCATGGTTGGTCATGGCCGCCGCCCCTGACAGGCGTTGACACTTTTCCGCTTTTCCATTTTCCCGCCCAGTCTGCCCAGGATTCTGGCGAGAGTCCCGTAATGCTGATGGACACTCGCTTTGATTTGCTGCTGCTGTTGCTCGTGTGGCTTTTCCTTTTGCCAGTTAAGTCAGCACTAACGACTTGTCATACGTGCGGTTTCATCCGAGGACAACGACATCGGCGCGGGTATCATCATCATCATCGCTCCCAACTGTTTGCCCAGTCCTTTGACACAGTGGCCCATCCTCTTTAGCCAGCGCCGCATTTAAAATCAATTTCATGGCCCCTGCCAGACTCACAAACACCGTCGCGAAGTAAATCCCTGTTTTTATGCCTCAGCCTCAGTCTCAGTCACAAATGCAAATATAAACATGTGTGATGCTCGCAAAAAGAAATCCTTTTCAAGCTGTAAATATTACCCTAATGTGGGAAAGTCAAGCCACTGGGTGTTTTCATTTGCGGAAGAAGACACTTCTTACATAGTTTTTGGAGTAAATTCCTTACAAATTTATTTGTAATTGTTATTTTTTGGAATTTGTTTTTATCCTCTCAAATTTGTATCCTGTCAAATGCAAAAAATAAAAACTACTATATACTTAATATCCATAAATATGATCTCCAAGAAAGTTCTTTTGCTGAAGGCATGAGGTTTGGTTCAAATTCATATACAAAACTACATCTTAAAGATACATCTTAATAATAATAAATAATATTACAAAAAAAACTATATACTTAATACAAAAAAAGTGTTTTTTTTTTCTTTCTTGTGAGTCTAAGAATTTCTCCTTATTCTCAAAGAGTATTCAATCAGCGACATGCAAAGCGAACTTTTTAATATTTTATATTTCGTTTTGATAAGCCTTCCACTCCCAGTGAGTAGGTATTTATGTCTGAAAGGCCAAAGGAAAGGTCGTTACAGATAAGTCGAGCCCTGGCTGTTCAGCTAGTCAGTCAGTTGGCCGCTGGCCGAATCACGTATACGCCACGTTTTCGATGAAGCAGTGCAATGCACTCTCTCCGCAAAGAACTTCCGGTAAGACGAATTGGGCCATCATTTAGTTTGCTGTGAACTCCAATTAAGCAGCTGACGGAATGAGAATTGCCTTAAGTTATTCGGCAATCCTGAGGCACCTGTTCCGTGTTTTTCTTAGCACTTACTGACTGCCACTCGCTCGTGTGCCAAGAGCAATAAAAGTTTGCCGACTGGCGATGGCAGGCGGAATTATTCATTCGACATTTAAGTGTCTGCCGCGACGTGCAATGAAAAAGTTTAACACACCTGCATACATTACACAATTCAATGGCATAAGTCGTTAAAGTGAAGCCGGGCTTAAAGACGCTCGGCGGTTGCAATGAAAAACAGATGACAAATTGGCCGTTTTTCAAATGCCTTGCATATTTGTAGGCCAATCAATCTGCATATGGAATTTTCGCTGATGGCCAAAAGCAATCGATTTTCATGGCTCTTTGCTTTTTTCGGGGAAACGAAAGTGATTTCCTGCCAGGCATTGCCGCCGAAAACTTCATCAAGCTGCCATCTCTTATCGCTGGAGAAGGGGTGTTGCGGCTGAATGCCTGGAATATCTTCCGGTTCCGCAGTTTTTGATGTCTTCCTTTGTGGGGGGATGGGAAAAAACCACAGACAGCAGAGACCGTAAGTGCCAAATAATAACCGCATGTTGGTAAAACAAATCGAAGAATTTCAAATGCAGGACCGAAATCCAAGTGGAATTCCTGGAGCACCCAGAATATTCAATGCAGCCAAAAACACTCAACTATGAATGCGATTTCCATGTAAATCCGACCGACTTTGGCACGTGCGCCAACAAACTAGACAATAACTTTGCGAAAATAATCAATTTTTTTTGGTATGTGCATGGGTTCACACACATAACATGGAAGATTGCGGTTTAATGGGCGTTTAAAAACGCGTGAAAAGGGTCACCTATGCTGCAGTTTTTTATGTGGCATACTTTCGGGGGCGGTAGACCATAAAAAATTCAAGTGTCAGTCGGCCATATTTTAATGGGTCTTTTCGGCCATTGTTGATCCAACTGCAGCACTCGGATACTCCGATAGAAATGCGGGGCGTGACAACAACAAAGGAAGCGGCTAACACACGCCAAGAAAGCCAAACAATCGCTGTCTAAACTCATTGTGTGCGCTTTGTGTGCACTGAAATGGGGGAAAGGATCATTCGGAGACACTCATACAAAAACTGAGGAGGAGGGGGGTTAGGGGGAGCTTCCTCCTTTCCCCTATCACAGTCGTGTGTCAATGCAAATGTCTATGAGTGGAAAAATTCACATTGATGCCGCTTTGTCGCATTGTCTGCTCAATACTCAAATGTCGAGGCACCGTGGAGTGGTCGGAAATATTGTTTGCTGGTAAACGCTGCTGACAAACACTAACTGATGTAAGTTGATTGTGAGCAGCCAAACACTTCACTTCACTCTGTCAGTTGATACGGTTACGGTTTATTATTGCCAGCCGACTGAATGACTAAACAGATTGAAAGGCTTGAGCAGACAGGGATGGGGATGTAAAGTTAAACAGTGGCTGAAGACAAACTACAAATAATTATCACCTATACTTTGTTATTTAGCGATGTGACAAGGACCTCTAAAGATGGTCTCATCTACTAATCCAAAGTGATCTCCTCTTTGTACTGATAGCTATAATTTAGTACAAAACAGTTCACATACGCAATACGATAAGTTTCATTAAATCAGTCGAATGTGAATAAAGCATATCATTAAACCAATTTTAGTGTCATTTCTAACAAAAGGGGATCGTGCATCTTCCTAAACCTTCTCGGCACACTTATTGGCGTACGACATGCACTTTCTTGAGCAGCAATCTGTATGCATCTGACACTGTAATTTAATTGATCACCTTTAAAAATCCATCCTAGTATATTATATACTGATAGCTTACATATCCCTCATTTGGGGAACAAGCTTGGATAATAGTCCCAAGGCCCAGTAAAAATCTGACGATCAACATCTTTTCGCTAGAAAAGTTAAGACTCAAATGACACATTCTGCTTTTGGACCACAATTTGTGTGGAACGGGTGTACCATTTGTTCTGGCTACGGTTAAATATTGCCAGCTAAGTGAATGAATAAATAGAAGAGTAGCTCATTAAATTTCTGAAATACTCTCGATATTTTTAGCATTTGTTGAATAGAAAACTAGGCATATATTAAAAAGATTCTAGTTATACTCGAAAGTATTTTTAGGGTCCAACTTTATTAGATTTTTAATAAGTTTAAACACCTGTGGAAGTCCGTGTGTCATTACATATTTTAGCAATGCTCAGCCGGAAACACTTGGAAGTTAAATCATATATTATATATAGAGTAAAAGTTGATTATATTTATCAATAAGTTATCTTACCTATTCACCGACTTAACTACATTCTGCTGCCACTTGATTGCACATGTTTGAGCAGCAATCGATATCCGTTAGACACTGAAAATAAAAAAAGCCAAGATGCAGAAAATCAAGTCTTTTATCTTATTCTATTAAACCTTACGTATCCTCCACCTGGCTGGCAAGCTGGGCCGGTAACATTCTCCTCTGCAGCCACAAAGGCCAGAATACTCAAACAAAGTACCAGTCGGACGATCAACATCTTCACTCCCGCAATGCTAAGACTCAAATGATCCAATCGGTCACGTTAAATCTCTACTTTAAGTGGAAAATTAGTTGTATATTTAAAGGTTGAACTTATATATTTAAGTATTTTATGAATAAATGGTTTTTCAATAAAAAAGCAAATATAATAACTTTATAATTTGCTAATATCGTTTATGAAATCTGTTTCAATACATATATCTAAATAAACTGTGTCAATTATTACAAAGGATTTTTATTGCCAGCTGAATAAGCGGACGAAATGTTGATGAAGTCTCTTCTATGATTTTCTAGTTTTCTATGAACTTTTAAATAGAACAAGAAAGGAAAGCTAACAATTAAATTGAGCAGAAACAAAACTACCAATGAATATGGAACTAATTATATAAAAGAACGGCCAAAGAGGAATCTAATCAGAGCTAGGCTGAAAGTTTTTAAAGTCTCGTAGAAAGAACTATTGGTGTATGGGATAAATCAGATAGTTAAGATCTGGGCTTACTTTATATACAGAGTTGCAAAGTTATTCAGTCACAGGGCTTACTTTTAGGATAGACCACGCGCACTACAATACCACTTAAGTATTTCTAAAATTATCTTGGATAGTGATCATATTTAATTACATAAATTAAAATCATACCCATTCAGTACTTATCATCTGAGAAAAATTCTCATCAAACAAAGAGTGGTTTAATGTGCCAAATTAATTATATTTTATTTATTTTGAATGCCTATTTCTTGGTAATTTTGAATGCTCTACAAATCGACCAATTTGCTCTTTAAATCTCTCCCGATTTGGTGGTGGTGTCGGTAGAGTTATCAGTGGAACTATCAGCTGCTGTCGGTGGTGCTGGCAGGCAAACTATTCTCCGTTATAAAGTCGTCATCATCATCTTCAGAAAAGACCAAAGGTAAATGAAAAGGTATCATCAAGTGCATCAACAGCATCGCTAACGATATTTCCCACTGGACCGCGTCCTCCGCCACCTCTTTGGGCCACGACCACTGCCACAAGGGCCAGAAGGGTAATTGCAATGAAGGCACGCATTCTCAGACTTTTGCTCGAATCGAAACTGATCACTATTCAGTCTACGCCAAACCCCTTTTATACCCAAAAACTCAAAACATCACCAAAATGCAGCCAAATCCCACCTGCGATGTGTGTGCTTAGCTGGAATCTCCGAAGAATGGAAAATTGCTAGATTGGGGGTCGTCGAGCTCAACTCGAATTGTTCGCCTCTAATTATTCGTTACATATTGTTTTCATCCAACGTTTGGCAACAGATGGCCCATGTTTGAATTAAATATATTGTTTCTATTTTTATCTAAAATGTTTGAGTTTGAAATGACTGTGGGACTAAAGGGGAAGATTTGGTGACATCAGCGTCTTATTTGGAAATAATTAATAATTTGCCTTAATGGAAAAACAAGAAAAAAATAAGTTTCCTAAATTTGTAAAATATTTAGATTGTACTGCTATTTTTCTGAAATGAACTGCCAGTAAAATAGAACATTTTGTATATCAATTTTTTAACGTTCTTAAAATTTAGCAGAAACAAAACTACCAATGACAAGAAAGGAAAGCTATCTTCGGGCCTGTAAATTATATTCTCCAAAATTATTCATATGATGCATTTTTTAATACTCATAAAAAATCCCAAATACCTAACTTTACAAACACCAAAGTTATGGCATTTCTAATCGTTCAGTTATATGGCAGCTATAGGATATAGTCGGCTGATCCCGTTCCGACTTCTATACTGCGTGCAAAGGAAAGAAGGGTGTGTGCAAAGTTTCAATTCGATATCTTTAAAACAGAGAGACTAGTTTGCGTAGAAACAGACAGACGGACGATCCTGATCAAAAATATATATATTTTATAGGGTCGGAGATGTCTCCTTCACTGCGTTGCATACTTTTGACCAAGGCTATAAAACCCGGGGGGGGGGGGGGGGGGGGGGGGGGGGGGGGGGGGTTTTCCGGGGTTTGGTTCCCGCGGGGGGGGGGGGGGGGGGGGGGGGGGGGGGGGGGGGGGGGGGGGGGGCTTTTGTGTTTTGCCGGGGCCCCTCCGTTTGACCCCCCCCCCCCCCGGGGGGGTTTCCCCCCCCCTTGGGGGGGGCCCCCCCCCCGTCTTCAAAAAAAATTTTTTTTTTTTTTTTATAAATATTTATAATTTATTTTTTATTTTTTTTTTTTTTCCAAAAAATGATTAAAAATACATTTAAATAAGAGTTTGTTATATTGTTGTATACTTTTAGGGAAAATTGATTAAACGTTCGTAACCACATTTTGCACAACCCCAATAGCATTATAGGATTAGTAGGTAGAATTTTTAATAAAATTAGCCATTTAAAAATGATTAGCAAATCAGTTTAAAATAAAATGAAAATGATTTTTTTAAAAACTTTATGGGTGTTATTTTAAAATTAATGTTTCTAAAGAAGTTTTGAGAAGTCTAAGTAATGCATCGATGAACACGTTTCAGGCATCGAAGACTGCAGCAGTGCTCTGCCATCGAGCACTTATTTCTAAACTGCACACATTTGTCGGCCCAGCGAAGTCGTTGTATCTGAGAAAAAAATTAATAATTAATAAATGTATATTTCGAATCAATCGCTTTTCGGATCATTACCTGCGTTAAATTTGTGGACAAAGGCAGCACATCGGTGGCGTTTCCCATACTAAGTGGCCAAAATTCATCCATGCCAAAGCGAACGTGATGGAGATTGGGTAAAGCGATGGCCATTCCCAAAAACATAAGAATAACAATTGTAATTGCTGCACTAACCTTCATGGTGGATTTAAAACTGAAGACTCTTACATTGGCAGAACGTTTATATACTGATCCAAATAAAAAACAGATTTTGTTTATCAGCAGTGTAATTATAGTTGGTTTAGCAAAAAACAGTTTTAGATCGAATAACCATATGTCTAGTTGGCGAAGAGCCGGTGACTGAAATCCACAACCGGCGGACTTTGAAAGACACTCTGAACTGAATCGGCGGCCACTAGGTTTCGATAGTCGGCTATTCCGCGGAACAAGCTGAGGAACATGTTGGTGAACATGGTGACCTCATCCTGGTTGAGAGGATTCAGCTGCTGCTGCACCGGTGGCTTCGTAATCAGAGGTAATTTCACATCCTTCGGAGAGGAATCCTTTCCCACAGGCAGAGCTTTGATTTGGGACTAACAAAAAGGAAGAAAGATAAAAAATATGATTAATTTAGAAGTTGTTTTTTTTAAATTTGTTTAAATATTTTGCTGTCCTAGGAATAGGTTTCTTTTACAAAATGTAAAGCAAGTACAAATTTAATAAAGTCCTTTAGTTGTTTTAATACATCGAAGCCTGGATATGGCTTACAGCGAAGACTAAAAGCACCAATAAAATTCCCAACATGACTTTAAATTGCTGTCTAATTGAAAGTGAACTAAAGACCAAAGTTGGTAACAACTTGGCTTTTAAACCCACAATCATTGGCCCGCTGACCCAGCGGCATTAATTAATTGCAGTGCTCTAGGCTTGTTGGACATGCTCTTCTGTTTACAAAGTCAAGAAGTCAGGTTACATTTGTGTCAAGACGCTCGAGATAATTGGGAATTGCCACTGTCAATATTTAAGTTGAACGCATCAGATACGTTACCATTCACAGATATAGAAAGATATAAAAGTAGCACGATATGCTTCATATTGCGCAATCAGTGTTTAAAGGTCGCTTTGTTTGTTCTAAATTTTAGTGGGTTAAGGTCCATACCATTCTTTCTCTGAGCTTTACGGGCTTAAGAGACTTACATTGAATACAGAGCATATTTTAATCATTTTTAAGAGGATTGCCGGAACTATATAAAAACATAAAACAGTCGTACGAACTATGTGATTATTTACAAAATCCGAGGAATTAAAAGGTTAAGTCCATAAGGTTTTTTCACATCCCAGCTTTTAATTTCTGATAATGTTTACAGAAGTAAACAATATTATCAGTAACGGTGGGTATATTTTCCACCAGCACATTACCCTATATGAGTTATCAATTTTTCAATGACATTTACTTTCGTTTATTTATGTCTAGCTTTATACTGTTTTCCCAAGCTTTAAACATGGCTTGATGCTTGTTTTCTTTCCAAAACCTCTTTCTAAATAAACTTCCTATCTTTATTATATTTATTTCCTAGGATAACTAATAAACTGATATTTAAAGTTTTAGCCTTACCTAATAGGTGATAACTTTTAAAAATACATATTAAGGTAATTTATGCATTATTATTTTTCATTTATTAACGATATGGTTTTGTTAGATTAATATAATTTTTGAAAGGTTTTTTATTACTACAATGCTTTTTACACTAAATTAACATTGCAAATTAAAAAGGAAGCGTTGCGCCTTTTTTTAAGTTTTGGTAATTTGCTGATTTTCACATTTCCTCATTGTGATGAATTAACTTAGGTGACACACCTGTGCAAATACGTGTGACATCGCAAATTGCAGCATTCCTCAGCCCGGGAGCACTAAAAAATAAGTACATATCGAAAGTGAAAGTTGGTCAAATTGGTGGAGAAGTTTTCTTACCGGTTCGCCGACATTTCGGCATTCTGCGGCCTTTCCTTCCATTGGATCGTAACTAGACTTTGTTTGAACTTCAAAAATATCATCCGATGGTTGTGACTCATTGGGAAGTCCAACAATTCGCACGTGATGATTGATATTTTTAACTGGTTCTTTCACATCATCGTAGATTTGGTTTGGAGAAATGGAAACTGGAACTGGATAGGGAATGTCTGCTCTGGGAGCACACTTATTATTATAGGTCATGCACTTTCTCGAACAGCAGTCCATATGTAACTGGCACTAGCAATCAAAATAAACATTAAATCAAACGATATTGAATTTTATATCTTGAAAACTTACATAGCCCTCATTTGGACGACAGTTTTTACTCCTAAAGTCCTGTCGTGCAGCCACATAGCCCAGGATACACAACAAAAGTCCCAGTCGTGCGATCGTAGGAATCATTGACATCTTTTCGCTGGCAAAGTTAAGCTTCAACTGAATCATTGGGCTTTTGAATCGCTGAATATAAACGATCTCGATTTTGCGAACGATGCGAACAGGGAACGAAAACAAAATGACTAATGGCATGGAGGTATTATGACTACCAGATACCGTTTAATGAGTTTTGTTAGTCTTCATTCTTGTTTATTTCTTAAGAGTTCAAACCAAATATGCGTAAGCAGGAAGGTAAAAATATGTACAGATAAAAGTTTACTATGAAAAGGGCTGAGTGTTCCAATAACAACAATTGTAAGACTTCTGTGAATTGTGATTGAATCAATGAATTATGAATCAATGATTCAATAAATCAATGATTTTACAAGATCTAATTATAAATTACCTATCAAATAAATAGAACTTACTAAATACTTAGTTCATTGGAAACTCTTGCATAACCTTAACAGAATAATATAGTGAATATATTGTTATTCGAAAAGACTAAACCTTTTCCAATTGTTTTCATTCATATTCCTATAATTGAAAAAAGATAATAAGATTACAAACATAAATAGGTTTCTTATAATTAGCAAATTTAAAAAAATATATAATAATTTGCTTAAATATGCTGCTAAATATTCATAAAAAAATTTCTAATAAGCTAATCGAATACCAATCGAATGCCAATAGAAATTGGTGGCGTAAACAATAAAACGCCACACTCGTGAAGTACATTCAGCTATTAACGATCTGCAAAAACAGGTTATTGATTGTAGCTACACATAATATTAATTAGGGGTTGATTGTGTTTATCTTTGCAAACATTTGAACTGGAAACGAGTGCGGGTATACCCTATAGGGATGTGTACCAGCACCTGCTATGGAAAAAGAGTGAGTGCTGGGTGGAAAGCCCGCATCGGGGTGTGTGTGTTGTTAGTGTGCCAAGGACCGCACCGTGACCTGCTCAATGCCGCTCCCTTCCGTCGAGTGGAAGACCCCCTACTCCAATCGACCAACCGAATCGAGTGTGTTTGCCCACTCATAATGTAGAATGTAGGTGTTCTCTTATACGAGCTCCCATCGATCAGCCGTCGTCCGGCATTATCTTATCGGGACTTGAGAGGCTTTAGCTTCAGCTAAGTATAACCGGCGGCGTGCTCGACAACGTCGCTCAGTCGAGTTTCGGTTGCCAGGGAGCGAACAAATACGAATTTCGGTTCGGTTCGCGTACTTCGTATCATCATGATCACACCGTTGTCTGGACTGGCGGCTTTGGGTGCTTTTTTTCTGGTGACCCTGGCCCTGGTGGTCAGCGAATCGTCCGTTCCGGAACGTCCGCGTTCCTTGCGCCTGCCCAACGATACCCATCCGCTGGCCTACCACCTTCACATCTCCAGCGATATTCACAGGGGCGTACTGCTCTTCAGCGGAAATGCCACCATTGACGTAGTCATCCGGAAGTCGACGAACGAGATAGTGCTGCACGCCAAGAACCTGTCCGATATTCAGATCACTGTCCATCAGTTAATTGACGGGGGCTCGGAGATCGTGGACAACCTAACCCACACGATCCATCGTTCTGCGTCTTTTCTCATCATCCATCCCATCGAGAATTTCCAGGCCTTCGAGGAGGGACAGCGATTTCGACTGGAGATCCTGTACACGGCCAATATGACACAGCGACCCGCCGGTCTTTACTATATGGATTATAGTGATGAGGAAGGCCATCCCGCGTGAGTATTCTTTATTTTGCAGCAACAGTTCAAAAGATTGACAGACTCAAGGAATAAATGTTTTTAAAAGTATAATAGAAAATTGCCAGAATATTTAGTGATATGACCGATAAAACAGCTTAAACGCAGTTGAAAGAATATATTTGTTAAAAAACACACCTTTCTATTTAAGTTCTAGTTGATTGCATTTTTAAAAACATTAAATTCAATATGATTTTTTATTTACGTTCATCTTTTCTATTTGGTGCGTATATTCGCATTTTAATATTAATTCTGCCTTCTTATCATATTCACATATTAAACTTTGAACTGTCGCCATATATACAAACTTAAAGATATTAAAAGTACTTTGTTTGTACGTAAGGAAATACCCATTTTATAGGCACGCGTTCTCTCAATTTATAAGTAAATTCCTCTTACATAACTTGAAAATAGATTCGGCGTGCACTTTGTGTTGGTCGCTTACTTTGCCTACGCTCTCACTTTTATTTTGTTATTATTTCCATTTGTTTGGCTTTGCCTTTTAATTACTTTGCTGGCGTAGACAGTTCTGAGGGTCTTTATCGCTATCAGGCGTGTATTATATATATGTGGTATATGCTCATCGCATATGGCAGAATCGGTTGATCCGAGCGCGTCACCAGGGTGACGATGTAAACAAATCGACACCGGGTTCCCAGCTACTGAGATTTCTTAATGGGGGGATTCTTTATAAAGGGGAATGACTGTGTCACCAATTAGGAGCCGTACCTTATCAATAAGATTGTGGAAAGACAACAAAAACAAACAGCGATGTGCACTGTATAGTATTTGTATTTAGCTTAATTCCCCCGATTTGTTTTGATTTCGATTGGGCAACATATTCGCATGACCCATGATTTTCGGTTGGGAATAACGAGACTTGATTGTTCCGTGGAAGTGAGAGCAGGTTCTCCATGTGATTGATCATTCCGGCTGCCGCAGGCTTCGACTGGTTTTTTTTTGTTTAGCGTTCAATGATCTGAAAATGGGACTGGGAATTTTTGGACTAAAATGGTTTTGTTAATTATAATTCATAGAAAGACCGCAAATACACTTGGCAAGAAATCTCAATTGATTAATGGGACTTTCATATAATTATGTATTGTATAGTTTTTCAACAAATAATGTGTGTTTTTAATATATTATTATTTTTGGATTTTTACTAACTTAATTTATATTATATATCCTACAGTTTTGTAGCCGCCACGCAATCAGAGCCGACATTTGGACGTCTTATATTTCCCTGCTACGATGAGCCCGGAATCAAGTCGAATTTCAGCATCAAGATAACACACGGCAGCAGCCATTCGGCCATTTCTAATATGCCAGTTAAGGAAATATGGTCTCACGGGTAAATCAGTAAAATATACTTCGTAAAATCCCTAATAACTCCTTATTCTTTTGCAGAGATTTAAAAACCACCTTGTTTCATACAACTCCACCAATGTCCACCTATCTTGTGGCATTTGTGATCTCCTATTTCGAGAGCACATCTGAGACATATCGAGGGATCACCCAAAGTCTCTACGCACCACCAGCTTCCAAGGAAAAGGGTCAGAGTGCCTTAAAAAATGCAGTGCGAACGGTGGCGGCATTCGAGGATTATTTCGGGGTATCCTATCCCTTGCCAAAATTGGATCACGTGGCGCTTAAGAAGAACTTTGGAGCAGCCATGGAGAACTGGGGTCTAATTACCTACAAAGACACCAGTTTGCTGAAAAACATATCGCTGGATATAAGAAATCCGTTGTGGGACAGGATTACCCAGAACCACGAGATTGCTCACCAGTGGTTCGGCAACTTGGTTTCCCCAGAGTGGTGGACATACACTTGGATGAATGAGGGATTTGCCACCTACTTCGGATATGTGATCACTGATTTGGTAAGTGATTGGTTGTACTTTTTTCATAAGCCTATTAGTTATTTTAATTAAAGAACCAACGAAACAAAAACATCTATACAAAAAGACAGACATTTGTGATTGATTTTTTGATTTTTTGATAAGTATTGGGCTTTAAGGAAATGCCAATTTAAATTTGTTATTGATAAGGAAATGAGTCAGCCTTTAATTTCATAAATTGCTAAAGAACAGAATAATGATTTAACTTGATATTGTTTCCTTTCAGCTCTACCCCGAGTACAAAGTAATGGAGACTTTTGTGGCCCATGAGGCGGATAGTGCCTACAGCTATAACAGTTTCTTCGACGTCCGTCCAATGTCCTCTTACGTGGAAAATGAGAAGGATATTATGGGGGTCTTTGACATTATTTCCTACAAGCGGGCGGCTTGCGTGATCAGGATGTTCCACCACGCCTTCCGTCAGAAGGTCTTCGTGCGCGGCATAAGTCACTTTCTGGAGAAATAGTAAGTCTTAGTGAATGTCGATTAGAACTGGTCAATTGGAACTCATGGGCCAAGGTCCTTTGCTCTCTCGCCCAGTCGTTACAGAGCGGCCAACGAGCTGAACCTCTTCGATGCCCTGCAAACTGAGCTTCATGAGGACGAGTACTTCTCCCAGAAGTCGTGGGCGTCCCGGATTAGGGATATCATGCTCTCCTGGACGCACAGCGAATGGCTGCCCATTCTGGTGGTCACGCGGAACTACGAGAACAACAGTATCACCTTTAGCCAGCGATCGGTTCACTCCAAGGATGAGCTCTGGTGGATACCTCTGAATTTTGCCACCGCTCAATCACCCAATTTCGAGGACACCCAGGTGGATATATTCATGCCACCGCAATCGCAGTACTCCGTGGCACTGGCGGATCTGAATATGCAACTCAGTGGCAGGGATTGGATTATAGTGAACAAACAGCAGACGGGCTTCTATCTCGTCCACTACGATACGGATAACCTAATGGCCATTGCCAGGCAGCTGCAGGCCAATCACTCCGTCATCCACAAGGTTAATCGAGCTGGTCTGTTCCGCAATCTTAAGCCCCAAATCGAACACAATGACATCGAGCAGGTGGATGTGGTGTTTGAAATGCTGAAAGTACCTGGAGCTCGAGCAGGATATACTGACCTGGAATGAGGCGGCAGATTCCATTGATCGCTTGTCGGAAAATCTTGTAGGCACTGCATCTCACAAACTTTTCAATGAGTTTGTTTGCCGACTGGTCACTCCCATTTTCCGACGTGTCTACGTGGAACAGAATGCAAATATTTCCCTGGATCAGGGCAACAGGATCCTGCACACGGCCTGCTTGGCGGATCTTCCGGAGTGCCTGGGTTACACTCGCAACCTGGCCAAGGAGTATTTCATCAATAAAGTCAATTTCACCACGGACTCGGAATACTATGGCACATACGACACTGTTCTGTGCATGGGAGTGCGATACCTGAGCGATCCGGACTTCCACAGGGTAATCGATGTGCTGAAGGCGGCGGATCGAGGATCGGAAAACTATGATGACATGATATATGCCCTGCGGTGCACACAGAGTCATCGCCACCTGCTGCACTACCTAGAGGTCATGCTGGGCGAGGGCTCCACGCACTTGATCCTTTCCGAGCCCGAGGCCATGATGTACATCGTCTATGTGTTCAAGTCGAGTTCGGCATCTCGCCCGGTCATCTGGCAGTATATCGAACGCAACTACATGCTCATCTGCCGATCACCAAACTTTGTGGAGCACTTCAACCAGATTGCTAAATTTGTGCCCCGACATCAGAGGTTAAATGTGAGTAGAGTCCTTCAATGTTGTAGAATAATTTAGAATTTTAAAGAAATATTTAAAAATATATATCATTACAATATTATTTATAAGAAAACAAAGGTAACATTTAATTTTAATATTTGTTCTACTTTTAATATTTCAGTTTTAGTCTACTTTTATAGGCTGCAGCGCCCAGACCATTGCGAATCACATGGAAGCGGAGGGTATTAAATCGAGCCACGAACTGATCGAGTCCGATTCACCGCTGGTGGGTAAAAAGATGAAGATTACGGAAAATTTCCAGGACAGGTTCGAGCAGCAGATCCACAATTGGCTGCTTGGCGAGGTTCCTCAGTCAACCGGGAGAAGTGATGCCCTTTTGGCCGCCTCCCTAAGTGCCTCAAATGGATCGAGTCGGCCGCAAGGCATCCTGAAGGATGCAACTCGGGCGGTGAGGAGTGTGCTGCGAACGATAGATATGTATAGGTGATTACCAATGTTTCTACTATAACTGTACAAGTACAAGCTTAAATACAAATAAATTAATTCTTATAAAACTACACACTTGATTCATTGTCAACTAACAGGGAAGAGTTATTCACCACAGCTCGAATTACGATAAGTGAAATCGGTTTTGGCCTAGACGGTCTTGTGGAGAATTGATAAGCAATTCGAAAAAGGAATTGTCATCGTCAATAAACAGTCAGCTGATCTATAGCCTTTTTTATATGACAAGCTTTGGTTAAGAGTATTGGCAGACAACTTCAAGGAACTATAAATCGTATATGATCAAAAGTAAAGTCGCATCCTTGACAAACTAAATTTAAAAAAGTATTTCATATGCTCAATATGAATGAAACCTTCATTAAAAATACGAGTTTTAAGTATTTATTGCGGTCTTGATAAAATTCCCATGACAACTTGCAATTTTTTCGGTGACTTTCAACTGTAAGAAGTCCCAGACAGCCCAATAATTTACAAATTTACTGCGTAGTTGTGTTTAGACCTAATGGCTTATTATAAGAACATTCACTTGATTAATAATCTTCTGCTAATCGGGCTAATGAATCATATCAATAGGGAAATAAGAGTAGGTACTTAGAAATGTGGTACTTTTTATTTATCGGTCAGACTGCTAGAACTACTTGCAATATCGAGTACCGACTTTAAGAATGTTTGAACTTTTTACGGCTTAATTATTCATTACGTTTGGCTTGGCCCAGTGCACTCTTGGCCAATAACGGGTGCTTTGGCCGGTTTTATCGAGTATTGCGCAATAATCTTTATGGCGATCGTCGATTGGGATAAGATAGGGAGCAGTCCATAAATAAGCCGTGGCCGAGCGGCGGCCCGTCAATAACCAATAGTGGAGCAGCCAACATGGCACGGTGGCTGTTGAATTCCTGTGTCCTGCTGCTGTTGGCAGTGGGCAGCCTACAGGCTCGCCTGATCCCTTCGGTGTCCTTGGACGATGGTCAGTTGGAGACCAAGGGAGTCGCCTTCCTTGCCACTCCCCGTGTGGATGACAATAGTGCTGGCAACTATCGACTGCCGAATAATACGTCACCGGAGTCCTATGATGTGGAGCTCTGGACGAATGTTCACAGTGGCGACACTCAATTTAACGGCACCGTTAAAATCAATCTGTATGTGTCAGAACTGAGCACGGAAATCAAGCTGCACTACCGCCAAACGTCGAACTTCGTCGCATCGATCATCAGTCGGGACTCGGCCACGGCCACAGCAATCCCACTCACCGTGACCCCCGAACTGCAGCGCGAATTCCTCGTCCTTACGCCGACGACCAGTGGCGTGTCCTTTGCGGCTGACACCAACTGGACACTGACCATCACCTACAATGGCACTCATCGCAGCGACATGGGCGGTTTCTACATCTCCAGCTACACGGATGATGATGGCCAGCAACAGTAAGTAGCTTAAGGGTTCTAAAAAAAAGGAAGTGCAGATCAATTGATTCGAACATATCAGTTTAAAAGTGACTATAATTAGGGGATAATGGCTCTCAAACCTCTCCCTTGTCGGGTAAAAAGTGATCTAACATACGGTATAAAAAAATATGCTACAAAAAATTGGTTAAAAAACCCCCCTACCACCAAATCCTGGATAGGCCACCTCTTTTTATTACTTAAAGATTAAAACTTTTTAAATGACATCAACGTTCAATAACCAATAACCTTAGCAATTTGTACTTGGCTTAGTTTTTATTGGATTTAGAACACGTACCCGACTTGCAAGTCCTTATCGAACTATTTATAACGATTGTACTTGATTGCGTACTTTCTGCTTGTTTGATTATCAATGAACCAATTTGGCTTATCTTAATAATCGAATATTAGTGCGGTGACATGTGACATACAAATAAAGTGTGTTCCCCGTTTTAACTAGAAACTAATGATTATTAATGTTATCCTTCAGCTTCCTGGCCACCACGCAGTTCGAGAGCACCAATGCCCGTCATGCCTTCCCCTGTTACGATGAGCCAGCCCGAAGGGCCAACTTCACAATCACCATTCACCATGATCCTTCCTACACGGCCGTCAGCAACATGCCAGTGAATGAGTCTACCACCAGGTTGGTATTACATAATTTTCAATATATTTACTTATCGATGAATGTGCGTATAAGTGATAAATTACTCATACGCAGTGTTGACTATAGTTATTTACTTTTTTAAAAAAACGCTAATTGCGGGAAATGGAAAATAAATAGGAGTCCTTTTATTTTCCTCATATATTTATTTATTTATTTTTTTTTTTTACTTAGTTCTGGAGTCACCGTGTTCCAGACCACGCCCAAGATGTCTACCTATCTGGTGGCCTTCATTGTGTCCGATTTCGAGTCCACCACTGGAGAGCTCAATGGCCTGCGTCAGAGGGTTTTCTCGCGCAAGGGAAAGCAGGACCAGCAGGAGTGGGCCCTTTGGTCTGGTCTAGTGGTGGAGTCCAGCCTCGCCGGCTACTTCGGAGTTCCCTTCGCCCTGCCCAAGTTGGATCAGGCCGGAATTCCGGACTTCTCTGCCGGAGCCATGGAGAACTGGGGATTGGCCACTTACCGTGAGCAGTACATGTGGTGGAACAAGCAAAACTCGACGATCAACCTGAAGACGAGCATTGCCAACATTATTGGACACGAGTACGCACATATGTGGTTCGGCGACCTGGTCTCCGTGAAATGGTGGACCTATCTGTGGCTCAAGGAGGGATTCGCTACCCTCTTCTCGTACGAATCGAACGATATCGCCTTTCCCGAGTGGAACACCTATCAGATCTACCATGTGAGCGACTACAACAGCGCCCTGCTGAACGACGCCCTGGCCTCAGCCGTCCCCATGACGCACTACGTCCAGACACCCAATGAGATCTCCAACCGGTACAACACCTTCTCGTACGCCAAGCCCGCCAGCGTTCTGTACATGTTCAAGAACGCCTGGACGGACAACGTTTTCCGCACTGGATTGAACAAGTACCTGACCAAGAAGTGAGTACTAAGCTACCTCTTTTATAGACTTCATTCAAAAAAAGTTATTTTCACAACTTACAATTGAAAGATTCAAGGATGGAAAGGATGCAAATGTAGTATATACTTTATTGTATTCATATTTTATTTCTTTCTTTTAGCCAATTCAATTCCTGCGATGAGTGGGACCTGTTTGCCTCCTTCCAGGAGTCTGCGAACGAACTGGGTCTTACGCTGCCCACCTCCGTGGACAATATCTTCAGCAGCTGGTCCCACCAGGCTGGCTATCCCCTGCTGACCGTGACCCGTAATTACGCGGCTGGCACCTTCACCATCACCCAGAAACGCTACGTGGCGAACGCCACTGATGGCAACACAGCCACCTGGTATGTGCCCATCAACTTTGCCACCGCCTCCAATCCCGACTACCGCAACACGAAGGCCTCTCACTATCTGCTCAATGTGACGGAGACCGTGATCTCGGACTCCCAGATTGCCAGCGATGACTGGCTGCTGTTGAACATCCAGAATGCATTCTACTACCGCACCCTGTACGATACGCAGAACTATGGACTGATTACTGCAGTCTTGAAGTCTCAGCCCTGGAAGATCCATCCGCGTAATCGAGCTCAATTGTTGTATGATGCGTACATCTTCTTGACCACCGATCGCGTCAGTCACAGCATCCTGTTGGAGCTGCTCAGCTATCTGGAGAACGAGGATCAGTACGCACCCTGGTCCACTGCCAACACGATTCTGACAGTCTACGATCGTTATTTGCGAGGCGATGATGCCTACTACAACTTCCAGACCTTTGTGCAAAAACTGATCGATCCCATCTTCGTTAAAATCGGAGTGAACGAGATTCCCGGGGAGCACTATTTGAACAACTATCTGCGCATCGTGCTGGTCAGCTTGGCCTGCCAGGTGGGCTCTGTTGAGTGCTATAGCCAGTCGGCCACGAAATTGTCCGAGTACCTTTACAACGGCACCGCCATCGAGGCCACTTTGAGGACTCAGGCCTACTGCGCCGGTCTGCGATCCACCACCAATGTCGTCTACCAGAGGGTGGAGTCGGATCTGCTGGCCTCCACGGATGCCACCGATCGCAGCCTGTTCATCTCATCGTTGGGCTGCTCAGGACAGACGACGCAGCTGAATGAGTTCTTCAACCTTTCCCTGGACTCCACCAACAGTTTGAGCTATTCGGAGCGCACCTCCCTACTGAACTCGGCCTATTCCCGCAGCGAAATCGGTGTCACCGCTAGTTTGGAGTTCCTGGAAACCAGCTGGGAGGCATACGCCAAGCTTTCGCAGACGACATCCAAGCCCCTGGATTTGGCCCTGCGTGGTATTGCCACATATGTGGTCAGTGAGAAGCAGAAGACTAGGGTAGGTGTTAAAGACTCTAAGGGTTTGAAATTTCTTACAAAGGTATCTAAAAGACGGCAGTGAAAAAAAGGGTCTTAAAATATATGGCTGCCTTCTTTTAGACACCTTCATAAGTGATTTCCAAACCCAGTGCTTTCTATGACATCCTTTAACAAAATACTAATCAATCAATCAATTAACAGCTCAACGCCCTGGTCGATGTTGTGAAAGCAAGTGGTCCCGATTATCTTAACGATGATCTGAGCACCACCATTGACTCCAGAATTGCAGCGAACTTCGTTTGGCTGGATACGAACCGTGATCCTGTGCTCAACTGGATCTCCGATTCCTTCAGGGAGAACAGCAGTGCCACCATCACATCGTCCTTCTTCACCATTCTGGCCAGTGCGATGGCTCTGCTGCTCTTCAAACTATTTTAGGCTAAGTCATGTGGTCAAGTATTAAACATAAATTCTGTAAAATAACATGAGTCACTATTAAAGATTGTGTATATAAGAGTTAAAATAGAATTGATAAAACCGAAGTACTGATGGATTCCCCGTGTTCAAAGTTCTGTGGATGGGATTTTGAGTTGATGGGTTTATGGCTTAGTTGCCACACTTTGCGCTGGTCAATCTTATCACAATTCTGAAAATGGCTGCATTGTCGATAAAGCACTGATAGTTGGGCTTAGCACGAAATTCGATTATCGAGTGGATATTTACAATGGCCGAGATGGTTTATGGAGTTCACGTGCTCATATCAGATAGGGATCTGGAACCTTCAAGAATGAAAGCCATTTTGTAGTTTTAATCGTTTTGGGGGACTTCTTATTTCTCTTGGGTTTTACCCAATCGAAGCGCCGTGTGAATTATTCAGTAATCTAGAGGCATTTTTGCTTAGTAATCCCCAACAGATTAATGGTTTGCTCTTTATCTCAAGGTATATTAAACTGGAAGGGTTAGGGGGCTATATATTCAGCAGCCATATCAGCAAGTCTTATGAGTATGCTTGAACCTTAGTTTTATGGAAAGTGTTTAAGTTTTAGTTCTAGTTTCTTTTAAAAATTGAACACTTTTTCACTATTTGATAAGAAGCTGACATTCCTTTCATCAATTAGAGCCCACATTCAAGAAGTGTTTGTAAACTTAGAAGCTTTTAAAGTTAGCCAACTTTTATCAAATCAAGTGTACTTGGGACCTTTATCAGCGTGTCTATCTTGAAATGTTCACACTTACTCCACGTTATCTTAGATGTGATTGTTACCAACCATTGCCAAAATACAAATTCATGGGTTTCTAAGGGTAGTGGAATAGTTGATTTACTGCCCAATGTATTTTATACTAGCTAATGGTCATTCTACTTGTTAGATTATGGTAATCTTTTTTTTTTCTGGTTTCCAGATAAGATGTACTGTCTCGTTTAAAAGTGGCTGTAGTGGAGTTTGCCAGTTTAGTCTTGCCGCGTTTTCGCCATGGTTCGCGTTGGCATGTCCTTGTTGCTGGTCCTCCTGGTGGCCATTTCCGCCACCCAGGCGGCAGTGCGCAGTTTCCCGCCCTTCGAGCAGCTCCAGAACCTCGAGAATCCCAACCTGCGAGCGGTGGTGCCCTTCGCCGACGAGGATAACTACCGCCTGCCCAACGACACGATTCCCAGCCACTATGCAGTGTCCTTGAGCACGAATGTGCACACTGGAGACACTGTCTTCAATGGCACTGTGTCGATTACCTTGGATGTGGTTGTGCAGACCACCAAGATTGTGATTCATGCCCGCCAGCTGGAGAACTTCACGGCCAACATCGTTCGTCAGGGAGTGGAGAATCCCGTGAACTATATTTTGACCTATGAATACGAGGACGCTCGCGAGTTCCTCACTCTCAGCCAAACGGGTCTCACTTTCCCGGCCGACACCCAGTGGCTTCTGACGATCAGCTACCAGGGACATCTGCGTACGGACAACGGAGGCTTCTACCTCTCCACCTACACCGACGAGGAGGGCAACACCAAGTACCTGGCCACCACCCAGTTCGAGAGCACCGACGCCCGCCACGCCTTCCCCTGCTACGATGAACCCTCGAAGAGGGCCAACTTCACCATCACCATCAAGCACGATCCCTCTTACAATGCCATCAGCAACATGCCCGTGAACGAGACTGCATCCAGGTGGGTACATTTTGGGGGTTGCCTTTATATAATATGTTATGTAAATTTCGGTAGAAGTTTCCCCTTGTTCTCATCTTTAGTAAAGGTTTAATATTTTTACAGTTTTGGTTGAGGGCTTTGTACTTTATTAATTGATTGCAAATTATGAAACTGCACTTTTATGGTTATGATAAGGTCTTTACTGTCACTATATTAGCCTATAACGATTTTATAGGGGATTGCTTGGCTTTTATATAATGCACACATACAAGCATGATACATTGCGAGTCCAATTCAATGGGAAAAAAGCTGAATTAATAAGAAAAATGTTAAATTAAATAAATTATTCCATTGCAGCTCTGGAGTCACAGCCTTCAATACGACTGTCAACATGCCCTCCTATCTGGTGGCCTTCATCGTCTCCGAGTTTGTCTACTCGGAGGGCGAACTGAATGGTCTGCCCCAGCGCGTCTTCTCTCGCAAAGGAACCGAAAACGAGCAAGAGTGGGCTCTGACCACCGGAATGCTGGTGGAGAAGCGTCTGTCCGACTACTTTGGAGTTCCCTTCGCCCTGCCCAAGCTGGATCAGGCTGGCATTCCGGACTTTGCCGCCGGAGCCATGGAGAACTGGGGATTGGCCACGTACCGTGAGGAGTACCTGCTGTACAACCCAGTGAACTCGACCATCAGCACGCAGACCAACATTGCCACGATCGAGGCTCACGAAGATGCCCACATGTGGTTCGGAGATCTGGTTGCCATCGAGTGGTGGACTTACCTGTGGCTTAAGGAGGGATTCGCCACTCTCTTCGAGAACCTGGCTGTGGATTTGGTAGGCTTTTGATGGCAGTGATTATCTGTAACGCATATAACCAACTCGAATTGCAGGCCTATCCCGAGTGGGACATCTTCCAGACCTTCCATGCTGGCTCCTACCAGAGCGCTCTGGTCTACGATGCCAGCGCCACTGCCCGCCCCATGACCCACTTCGTCCAGAAGCCGTCGGAGATTGCCCTGCTGTATGACAACGTTCCATATGCCAAGGCCGGATCCGTTCTGGACATGTGGCGTCATGCCCTGACCAACACGGTGTTCCAGCGCGGTCTGCACAACTACCTGGTCGACAAGTGAGTTCAGAGATGCTCCTGGCTGTGACTACCAAACTAATTTGTTTATTTTAAACCCCTCCAGTCAGTACACTGCTGCCAATCCCGACAAGCTGTTCGAGGCCATTGCCAAGGCCGCTGTGGAGGAGAACTACGCCGTGCCCGCCACCATTGCGAATATGATGGGCAGCTGGTCGAACCAGGGTGGAGTACCCCTGTTGACCGTGACCCGTAACTACGAGAGTGGAGCCTTCACCATCAAGCAGTCGACGTACACCAATGACAAGGATTACACCAACGACAAGCTGTGGTATGTCCCTGTCAACTATGCCGACTTCTCCAATCCCGACTTCCGCAACACGGAGGCCACCCACTATCTGCTGAACCAATCCGAACTGACCATCGACGCCAATATGGATCAGAGCAACTGGCTGATTCTAAATAAGAAGTCCACTGGCTACTACCGCGTGAACTACGATACCGAGAACTGGCGACTGATCACCAATGGACTGACCACTCGTCCCCACAAGATCGATCCCAGGAACCGCGCTCAGTTGATCAATGACCTGTACCGCTTCACCACCAGTGGTCGCGTGCCCCATGCCACTCTGCTGGAGCTGCTGACCTACTTGCCCCAGGAGGACCAGTACTCCCCGTGGTCCGCTGCCAATACGGTGATCACCCTGTTTAACCGCTACTTGAGCGGAGATGCGGACTACGCCCACTTCCAGTTCTACGTCCGTGAGCTGGTGAGCCAGCAGTACGACAAGTTCGGAGTGAACGACCTGAGTGGCGAGCAGCATCTGGTGAAGTTCACCCGCAACCTGCTGATCAACATCGCCTGTCTGGCCGGCTTGGAGAACTGCCTGACAGAGACCAAGGCCAAGTTGACTGCTCTGGTGGAGGATGGCACCGTGATCGAACCGAATCTGCAGTCGCAGGTCTACTGCAATGCCCTGAAGCAGTCCGATGACAAGAACTTCGACTTCGTGTACAACAAGCTGATGAGCTCCACCGACCAGGCCGAGCGTCGTCTCCTGATCTCCGCCCTGGGTTGCGCCCAGAACACCGCCCAGCTGGAGAAGTTCGTGTCCAGCAGCATTGACCAGTCGAATGGCCTGAGGGTTCAGGAGAGGATCACTCTGCTGAGTCCGGCCTATTCCCGCGGCGAGGTGGGTCTGTTGGCCTCCATTGACTTCCTGCAGAGGAACTGGGACGAATACGCCCAACTGAACACCGGTTTTGGTGGCGTGAATCCCCTGTACAGCGACATTGTGGGCATCTCCGCCTATGTGGTCAACACCAAGCAGAAGGAGGAGCTGCAGAAACTGGTGGACACCGTCAAGGATTCCGCCTATGTGCCCACCACACTGCAAGCCAGTGTGGATGCCAATGTCAATGCCAACAACGCTTGGCTGGAGGCCAACCGGGATCCCCTGATCACCTGGGTATCCGCATTCCGCAGCGGCAGTTCCGCCCTGAACGCCTCCATTTTGGCCATCTTCGCCTGCCTTCTGGCCGCCAAACTGTTCTAAAATGTAGATCCCTAAGTTAGTCATAGATTTGCACCCGTGCGCCAATAAATTCCATTAAATCCCTATGAAACTTGTTTTGCTTTTCTGAGAATTTATAGTTCCCTTCGGCGCTTTATGGCCGTGAATTGTGTGATCGAATTGGTCAGATAAGCGGGGGGATCTCATAAATTTCCTCTTCTAAGAAGTCGAAAAACCAGAGTTCTTACGTTCGCAATTCATCGCTCATAAGAAAGCCATAAATACATTCATAATCAGCCATGGCAACTAACTGAATAAGTGTGAGGGATTTCCAAATCTTAGCCAGTAGTTTCCCAAACGTTAATAAAGAAATCAAGATCTCTTTGTTTAGCAGCAAATCTAATTTATTGTTTTCGATTGTCTTTATCAACTGCAATTGCAAGAAAGTAACAAAAATATCATATGTTTCTTTTGGCGCATAACTTGTACTTAATATTTGGATGGGCCAAAGGATCAAGAGGATTTTGCAACTTTATTTTTAAAGTAGTGACAAACCGATTAACGTCAATTGGAATGTGATTAATGATATTGGCTAAGATAATAAGATAATATGATTCCATTAAACAAAATATTCCTTCTTAGCTACCTAAGCTGGAAAAGTCAGTAAAATAAAAATGTTAATCATTTATTTTACTTAGACCATAAAAAACACTTTCCTTGGGATTTTGATTTGCTTTTAGCACTCATCAATCAAATTCGTCAAGTGCTTCAGAAAAGGAACAAGGTCGTAAAAAAATGCAATATAAGTTCCTAACAGATTATAGCACAAATCCTGATAAGCCACTTGTGTTAGAATATCAGATCATGTATTTTAAACTCAACAAAAAATAATGATGTTGATAGACGAATTTCCATAAGATCAAAAGGATTCATAGGATTCTAAGGCTTCACAATAAAAAACATATCATGCAAAATATAAAACAAAGAAAAAAAATCGAATGTCCTTCAAATTTTGTTAAAGGAACTAGAAATATTAACTATGTATTTAATATACATATGTATTAAATAGTCGAAGTCTCTGGTTTTCTGTCTAAGTAATAAGTATGTCATCATGATTTAAAAGACAAATTGTCACTGCTTCTTAAAAGACTGCAAATCATGCCCCATCATGATAAGGTTGGAGGCACTGCACCATAAAGTGCCAAGACTTCAGAGGCAAACAAGTGCATCGAAGATCCAGTGTTATGCCATCGTCTGGCGATATTCGAAAAACGTCGGAGTGGATTGGTAGCCCATGGTGGAGTGTGTAAATCACCGCTATGACTTCTTATCGCTATCGCCGCTTAATCTATAGACCAGGCCAACTTTATCTGGGCCGAAATAAAACGCTAAAGGTGGCAGATAAACCGCTGATAATGGCCAAGTTCCAAAGCGCCCACCTTATATATCGGCCCCAAAGCCAGGCGGCATTTAGTTTTCGAATCGAATCGCGTGCCGAGTGGCGTGCGAAATACTAACTCTAGTCCCGGGTCCGCGATCGAACCCTTGAAAAGTGAGTTGATTAGTGGTTACATAATCGCCGATCGTTCTGGTGAAACTTAAGGAATAAATGTGCTAATACCCTTTTAAAAAGGATTACTTCGTATTTGAGGCATACACTTGAATTGGTATTGTTAAGTGTGCCATAATTATTGAAAGCGCAATGGGATTAAATTTAAGGAATAAGTCCTTTCTAGGATGTCATGTTTGCCTAATTGCAAATCCCCAGAAAAATTTAAATCAAATTAAAGCTAAATAGAATCAATTTTTTATGAAGTCTTTTAAAAGTAATTTTATTTTGTAAAAAGATTTTGTAAAGCTTGGTTAATATAAACGAGTTTTTTACGACTTTTATGACTTAAAATCTAGTATTTTTACCAATTAAAGCATTTAACAAAAATAAAAAGTATTCTTTCTTATTTCAAATTTATTCTTATCAACAGCAAAAATGTACGCCCTGCGAGTGGCTGTTCTCCTGGCAGCCTGCGTGTCCTTGGCCTCCGCCGGAACTCGCCAACTGGATGTGGAGGTCCAGCCGCCGGTCACTTTGGCCACCGAGCTGGCAGACTACCGTCTTTCGGAACACATCTCGCCTGTGAGTTACAACATTAGCCTGAGACCCTATCTTCTGGAGAGCGATGCCACCAAGAAATTTACATTCGATGGCGAAGTATGGATCGAGATTTATCCGAGTGAGACCACCTCTTCCGTGCACCTGCACTCGAAGAATCTCACCTATTCGCTCAGCGAGTACTGGCAGAAGCCAGCGACCGGAGTGGCCGCCCCGACTCCAACCAGATTCGGTGCCAACCAGACCAACGATGATACGGATATTGTGAAGCTCACGGCTCCCACCGCCTTGACGGCCCAGACGACATATATCCTGCATTTCGTGTACACCGGTCTGATGCAGGACGATATGCACGGCTTCTACCGCAGCTCCTATGTGGACGATAACAATGTGACCAAGTGGCTGGGCTCCACCCAGTTCCAGACCAACCACGCCCGCCGCGCCTTCCCCAGCTTCGATGAGCCCCAGTTCAAGGCCACGTTCGATGTCACCCTGAAGCGCCACAGGACCTTCAACTCGGCCAGTAACACCAGGCTGATCGCTTCCTATCCCAGTGATGAAGAGTAAGTAGCTCGTTCCCTTTTTCTCCCTTTGGGTTTTCAATTTAAGGATTTGAATATATATTAGTCATTAACTGATAGAGATAATGGTAAAGTCAATTCGCAATACTATTTCTCAGAACTAACATGTCAGATGATTCATCAAAGGTCTCTGACTAAGCCAAAATTGATTAATCTAATAGATTATTAAACTTTTTTGAAGTCAAATTTTCTGCAATTGAATCAAGTACCCTAATTATCTAACGCTCTTTAATATAAATTTTCTGATTTTTCCATTTGCAGGGGTTACTATACGGATGTGTACAAGACGACACCCAAGATGTCCACCTATCTGCTGGCCTTCATCATTTCCGAGTTTGTGGCCCGCAAGGACGACAACTTCGGAGTTTTCGCCCGCCCAGAGTACTATGCCCAGACGCAGTATCCCTACAATGTGGGTGTCCAGATCCTGAAGGAGATGGGTGACTATTTGGACAAGGACTACTACTCCATGGGCAACGACAAGATGGACATGGCCGCCATTCCCGACTTCTCGGCCGGAGCAATGGAGAACTGGGGTCTGCTGACCTACAGGGAGCGCAGTCTGCTGGTGGACGACTCGGCAACCACTCTGGCCTCCCGCCAGTCCATCGCTGCCGTGGTGGCCCACGAACAGGCGCACATGTGGTTCGGCGATCTGGTGACCTGCAAGTGGTGGAGCTACACCTGGCTGAACGAGGGATTCGCTAGGTATTTCCAGTACTTCGGCACCGCCATGGTGGAGAAGGATTGGGAACTGGAGAAGCAGTTCGTCGTGGATCAGGTTCAATCCGTGATGGCCATGGACTCGACCAATGCCACCAATCCGCTGAGCGATGAGAACACTTATACTCCAGCCCACTTGAGCCGCATGTTCAACAGCATCTCGTACAACAAGGGAGCCTCCTTCATCCGCATGATCAAGCACACCATGGGAGAAGAGTTCTTCAGGACGGCCCTGCAGGATTACCTTAAGAAATAGTAAGTAATTGGTAAATGAATTATTAGCCATATGACTAAGGCAACCCCCTTTCACAGCGAGTATCAGCCATCGGTGCCCGAGTATCTTTTGGGTGCCTGGCAGGCCAAGTGGCCCAACAGCAGCTACAACGACAGCTCCGAGGCGATCTTCAAGAGCTTCACCACCCAGGTGGGCTACCCCCTGATCAACGCCGAACTGGCCAGCGATGGCCTATCCGTTCGCTTCACCCAGAAGCGTTTCCTGCTGAAGGAGAACGACGGAGCCGACGCGGATCTGAAATACACTGTGCCCATTTCCTATACCACCAGTGAGACGACCACTAAATTCGCCAACTCCACGCCCAAGTTTATCCTGAAGCCAGACGTGGCCACTACTGTGTCCTTCACCCCGGCCATCAAGTGGATTGTGGCCAATGTCCAGCAGACTGGATACTACCGAGTCAACTACACTGAGAGCAACTGGCATGCCATCCACCAAGTTCTGAATACCGCCGATTGGGGCGGTGTGCACGAGAACAACCGCGCCCAGATTGTGGACGATCTGTTCAATCTGGCCAGGGCCGGGAACATTACGTACAACCTGACTCTGGACGTGATCGAGTATCTGGAGACGGAGACCAACTACATTCCCTGGACGTCGGCCTTTAATGGATTTAGTTATTTGACCATTCGCCTGGGCAATGACACTTCCGACTTCGGCACCTACATCCAGTCACTGACCAACAAGGCCTACAACCAGCTGGGATTCAATGAGACCTCCAGCGACACGGCCCTGGACATCTATCTGCGCACCAAGATCCTCTCCTGGGCCTGTCGCTACGGCAGTGCCGATTGCATCAGCAAGGCCAAGGGCTACTTCCAGTCGCTGACCACCGTGCCCAAGAACATTCGGGCCACCGTCTACTGTGTGGGTCTGCGGGAGGGTGGAGCCACTGAGTTCCAGGCTCTGTACGACAAGTTCAAGGCCGAGACCGTGGCCACCGAGGAGACCCTGCTGCAGAACTCCTTTGGATGTGTGAAGACCCAGGCTCTGATCGAGAAGGTGTTCGACCTGATCCTCAGCGACGAGATCCGCAAGCAGGACAAGTCCTCCGTGCTGTCCACTCTCTACACTGAGAACAACGAGAATGTGAGCCCGGTGTTTGCCCTGGTCACCCAGAAGTACGAGCAGTTGGCCGATGCGTAAGTATTTATTATAAACTACTTTTGAATTTAGTTAATTAATGTATGATTATTTTCCCCCAACAGCATGGGCGGCTATTCCGCGGTGGCCACTGTGATCTCCAACATTGCTGCCCGTTTCACCACCCAGCAGCAGTTGACCGATCTGCAGAACTTCAACAGGAACTATGGCTCCAAGTTCGGCACCTCGCAGGCCACCTTGACCTCCGCGGAGGAGACTGTGCAGGAGAACCTGAATTGGGCGGCCGCCAAATTGGGCGTTTTCCGTAGCTATCTGGCCAACTATCGCAGTGGAAGTGCCATGGTCAACGCCTTCAGTGCCATCAGTCTGCTTTTGGTGTCCCTGGTCACCATGCTGCGCCATTAGGCCTGGATCAACCCACTCGGGGACAGGTGCAATCGGGTCACGAGTACTCTTTTAGGCCATAAAGTATTTTGTACGCTTAGAGCACCCAATAAACTAACACACTTTGTAGATAACTCGCCCGTCGTATATTATTATTATTACTATTATTATGGGTATTTGGCAAATCGCTCAGACAATAGGCTTAAATGGCCGTCCCTGGCGACAAAGTTTACAATCTGATTAGCGCCGTCGATTGCGGATGATTCAGTTCACAATCTTTAGGGGATTTCATTGAACTTAAGTGTCCATTGCCTAATAAATCGATCATGGTAAAGCAATAAACTCGTATCAGGGTTGTAAACTATATTTCTTACCTATGAACTATGTTTTGAAGATAGATGGATTATTCGCTTATTATTGCTCCAATTTTAGCAACATTTCTTTGAAGTTGAAAGCCAATAAATTTTATATAATACCTTATGAAAACTGCTTTTTATTTATTATTTATAAACTGATATTTATCAGGCCGTTAATTTGAAATGGAATGATAAATGCATTATTGCCAAATAAATCAATCGAAAGTTTCATTATTGTATCAAATTTTAGATCTTTCACCATCATTTGTTTCATATTTCTTCTAAGGGACATTTTTACAATTCTTAAATTATTGTGATTGATGTTTTAAAGGGATGATTATAATGATGATTAACTTCGTAATCTATCTGGGATTTCAATAAAGTTAAGAACGTTTGGCCAATAAATCAAGTCAACATTGCTAACTATTATTGCTTAGATTCGAAGTCAATTTATTTTGTAATCGATGATGAAATTAATGGTCAAAAGTCATAAATTGTTATCACATTTACTTATTTATTGCAGAGTTTTTATTACTTCTTTAAGAGATATCGATCATACCATTCTTTCCAACTAATTCAGTTGATTCATTTAACTTTTTTCGGGGATTTCAATGTTAGCAACATCATAAAATCGTTATCACTTCTAAATGCTTTTCCTTAGAACCATGTTGGACTTCCCACTGTGTTACTGAATGAGTGTGAATGTTAAAGGTATTTTTAATCTTATGGTCAGTTCTATATATCTAATTATTTTTAAACCCCCGTGTGTATGTACCAATCATTGATTTGAAATAAAAAATCTAATCCAAGCTTTTAAAAAAATATATCTTAATAGATCAAACTAGTAATACATTTTCTGACTTGAAGTAATTAAACAGCTGTCAGGTTGTCATTTTATAATTTAAAATTATAATTGATATCTCATTTAGTAGGTTATGGAGTGCCCGAACGCGTGTTGATAAGAATATTTAGTTGAGAGAGGTGATACGCCTAAACGATGTTGAACGATTTGTAATCGAAACATCTGTGAATACCTGTTTTGCGGGGGGGAACTTTTATTTGGTTTTGTGACTTTGGCGATCCCATAGTCGAAATCGGAGTCCCCAGTAATTGAACATCGGTCGAGATGGGCAGTTCGGTGGCTCGTCAATTGTGTTTACTACTTTTGCTAGTAATCGGCTTCGTAAATGGCGCTGATTACCGACTAGACGGTCGTGTCGTACCCTCGTATTATAACCTGACCATCGGGGTTCTCGCAGATTCCGCCGAGCCCACTCTCTTCGATGGCGAAGTGAGCATTACTCTGCGGGTGGCTGGGAACCTGGAGGTGCCGCAAATCACTCTACATGCCGACACACTGGCGATATCGGAGTGCTGGCTTCTGGATTCGGATGGTGCACAGGTGGAGGCCATCGATATCGGCCGGCTGATTTATGATGGCACCACCCAACAGGTGACAGTTCCACTGGCACAGGCCTTGCAGCCTGGAGGAGATTATACGCTCGGGTTCAAGTACACCGGGCACATTCGCACCGATATGGCCGGTCTCTTCTCCGCCAGCTATGTGGAGCAGGGCACCAATGCCACCAGGTGGCTGGCCGTCACCCAGATGCAGCGCATCAACGCTCGCCTGGTCCTGCCCTGCTTCGATGAGCCCGCCATGAAGGCCAAGTTCCAGCTACAGATTATCCGACCTAATGGTTATCAGGCGATTGGCAACACCAAGCTAAGGGAAACCACAACGGCAAGGTGATTGACAATTCACAATCTTTTCAATCGAAAAAGTAGGGGTTTTAATTCCACAGATGAAGCAAGTCTTTTTCGAGGGTTTCTAAAAAATGAAATCTTTACAAATCCTTCAAAAATCAATATAAGTTACAAAGACTTATCAATATTTTATTAATAGTTATTTTGCTAGAGAAAATACTTAATTTAATTTATAAAACTGCCCGCTTATAGTTCGGCTATCCCTTAATTTCAGTCAGGATCGTTCCGTGGATCACTTCGAAGAGACTCCTGTGATGTCCACATATCTGCTGGCTTTCATGGTGGCCAATTACTCTGCCCGTGGAAATGTGAGCGATTTCGCTGTGCTAACTCGTCCGGAATTCTTTAATAACACGGAGTTTAGCTATAAAGTGGGTCAGCAGGTGGTTCCAGCCTACGAGGAGTTGTTTCGGCTTCCATATGCTGGATTGGGCAATGAGGTGCTTCAATATGCCAGTTCTCCCAGGTTTCCTCACAACGGCATGGAAAACTGGGGGCTCATCATCTTTAGGTAAAACTAATCCATACCATTTTAAGATTGGTTCATCTTCTCTGTGATATCCTAGCCATCCCAAATCATTATATGTTTTAATGTTATGATCTATCTTAATCAAAGGTATTTATTGTGTTTTAAAGCGATGACGTCTTGGTTCAGGAAGCCGGATACACCGACGACTGGTCAGATAAAGAGTTTGCCATCCGCATCATTGCCCACGAGACTTCGCACATGTGGTTCGGTGACAGCGTAACCTTCTCCTGGTGGAGCTATTTCTGGTTAAATGAGGCCTTTGCCCGCTACTTCGAGTACTTCATGGCCCACCAGGTGGAAACCTTTACTTAGTTCATATATTTAAACAAACTAACTATAACCAAATCCTTGCAGCTCTATCCTGAGTATCACTTGGACGAGCAGTTTGTGGTGCGCCAAATGCAGCTGATCTTTGCTACGGATGCTCGGAACAGTACTCAACCTATGACTAGTCCGGAATCGGAGATACAAACTCCGTCGCAGATTGCCTACAAGTTTAGTGGGATTACCTATGCCAAGGGAGCCTGCATTGTCAGGATGTGGCGAAATCTTATGGGGGCGCAAAACTTTAATATCGCCATTAGAAACTACCTGAAAGAATAGTAAGTGGTCACTGCAGAATTTTATTGAGACAATCAGTAATCAAACTTTTAAAGGAACATTTACACAAAAACCTTTAGCAAATTAATATAGATGTCTACTGTTAACACCTTTTAATCCTGGATCTTTTCTTTAAAGCCACTTGGCCAACACAGAACCCAATGATTTATTTTACCACCTCTATCAAAACTGGCCAAAGAATAAGAGTGTGGAACTGTACCGATTTTTCGCCGACTACACGGAGCAGGTGGGATATCCCATGCTGATTGTGAATGTTACCAGCGGAAATAAGTTCGTCTATGTGGAGCAGCGGCGATTCCTGCTGAATCCTGGTGATGGCAGCAATGCGACACTAAAGTATACAGTGCCTATAACTTATGCCACTAATCTGGCGCCAAATTTCGATGACCTTACTCCGAGTTCATATTTGCACCCTGCCGTGGACTTGCTTCGGCTGTTTTTTGCCGATCCCATTGACTGGATTGTGCTGAACCTGAGACAATCGAACTACCAGCGAGTGCTCTATGATGAAACCCTGACAAAAGGCCTTCAGGTGGCTCTATCTGCACGGGATCACAGCGGAATACCTGTTGAGAATCGAGCACAGATCATCGATGATCTTTTCAATTTCGCACGAGTTGGTTATGTTGATTATTCCGAGGTCTTTGAATTCCTGGAGTACCTGCGAAACGAGGTGGATTATGTGCCCTGGTATGCTGTCTATGAAAACCTGAACCTGGTGGCCAAGCGATTGACACCTGATCAGCTGCCCGACTTCCGAACATATCTCTCTGACATCACAAAGGCTGTGTTTCAGTCACTTGGAGTTGATTGGAGTGACCAAGATACTCCGCTGGATGTGGCCAATCGGAATAAGTTGGTCAAATGGCTATGCAGATACCAGGCCAGCAATTGCAATCAATTGGTTAGCCTGAAATTCGCAACATCTGAACAACCATCGCCGGATTACAGAGAAACGTTCTTTTGTGCCGCCAGTAGTAGCAGTTACAATTCATACACTCTGGTGTGGGCACGGTATCACTTAGAAACTAGACCTAGTGAAAAGGAACTCCTTTGGTCCGCAGCTAGCTGCACAAGGGACTACGAAACCCATTACTACAAGATGATCATCACGGGTGCGGAGACTGTTGAACGGAAGAAAATTGGCTTGGCCCGGTTGTATGAGGAGAATCCCGACTTGGTCGAGCCCATTTTTAAGATGGTAACTGCCAACATCACCGAACTCGCCTTATGGTAAGTTGTTTTTAATAGATTTTAAGACATAGACATATACTATGGTATAGTTAATTTTTATTTTGAAAACTTCAAAAAATGTATTTTAAATATAAGAATTTCTTTCCATGTATTGGTTAAGAAAGGTTTGACAATCTGAAAAAAGCATTGTCAAAATGTAAGCAAGGGTATTTTTCTCTGGATTGAAAACTACTCACATTGAAATATAAAAGAAATGGTTCAGTTCGTGGGAAATTAAAATTTCCATTATCATGTCTGAAAAATCCGTGAACCAAGGAACTTAACCATTCCATGTTCTCATAATCTTTGTATAAACATATTTCTTTTACACATAGTTTTCATAAATTTATACCACCTATTTAATTTTAGTTTGGGCAGCTGGTCGGAAACAGCGGAGGTGATCAGCGATATGGCGGAGTACTTCACCACCAGGAACCAGCAGCAGTTGTTTGAGGAATTCTTCGATTGCAACCACCAGCTATTCGGTCAATCGGAGGAGGTGCTCTCCAAGGCCAAGGAATCGGTGGAGCAGAATCTTCAGTGGGCCGAGAAGCGCCTGGACAGACTGGTGCTCTTCCTGTCCCGCAGGAATGGCGGTTCCAGCCTGGTTGGCAGTTCCTTGGTGGTGCTACTGTGGGCCTTGGCCAGCCTGTTGGCCTGGCTCTGATTAGCTAATAAGTTGTGTGTGTGTGGGGGAAATAAAGAGATTTGCCGTGGTCATGCGCTGCGGGGGAAATGCCCTTTTCGTGTACGCAATTACTAGGCAAAAAGGTTTGAACGGCGCTTGCTTTATTAGGCCATAATTCACGCAGTCGAGCGGCCATTACATTGGCATCCGCTGGCCAAGTCGGTCTATAAAAGGCCCCCGGCGGCAAGTGGCGCTTTCCATTTCCACGCGAAGGACACTCACAGGCGGGCCACCGACGAGATGCTGCGCCACCTGCTCCGCCACGAGAACAACAAGGTCTTCGTCCTGATCCTGCTCTACTGCGTCCTGGTCAGCATCCTGAAACTCTGCACGGCACAGGCCGAAAATTCTGTGGCGGATAATGGTAGGGATTTCATTTTCGAATATTTGTGGCTCTGGGCGACACCATTTCCTTTTCAGATATCACCCATTTGGGTGACGATTGCCAAGTGACGCCCGTGATTCATGTGCTCCAGTATCCTGGCTGTGTGCCCAAGCCGATTCCCTCATTCGCCTGTGTCGGTCGCTGTGCGAGTTATATCCAGGTGGGTTTTTCCTTTTATTATAATGACAAGATGTAACCATGTCACCATGCAATTTGTAGGTTTCGGGCAGTAAGATCTGGCAGATGGAGCGGTCCTGCATGTGCTGCCAGGAGTCTGGCGAGCGGGAGGCAGCCGTCTCGCTTTTCTGTCCCAAAGTGAAGCCGGGCGAAAGGAAGTTCAAGAAGGTCCTGACCAAGGCGCCACTGGAGTGCATGTGCCGGCCCTGCACTTCCATCGAGGAATCCGGCATCATACCGCAGGAAATTGCCGGCTACTCGGACGAGGGTCCTCTCAACAATCATTTCCGGCGCATCGCTCTGCAATAGACCACCCATCACTTCTACAATCATAAACATTTGCACATTAAAATAAATTAAATTTGACCTATCTGCTTGTACACAGTGAAATATGTGATCTTTAATTTAATGCCACAAAATAAGGCAAGTACCTAACATTCAAGGGGATAAAAAAGTTTGAACATATTTCCATGGGTTATTTTTGGTTGTAGTTTGCAACAGCTGAAACTATCGATTCCAAGTTGTTTTGGAACCGATTTTCTAATTCTTCGTACGAGTAAATTTCTTTTAAAAAGTACAACAAAATTTTGTTTGCTGTAAATGCCAATTAATTAGAATTTCCATAACGAATTTATCAAGGTATAAAACTCAAACATTTGACCAATATTTTCAAAACCGAAATTATATTAATTTTTCGGAATTGGATTAGAAATTGTATTACTAGTTTTACGAGGTATAACTTATCAGCTTTGGGTTATTACTTGCACTGTTGTTTTTTTGGCCGGACTTTTTTCTTTCACTTTTCATTGTAAAACTAACCCTTTGATAGTAAGGAACACCCCCTACAGTAAATAAAAAACAACACCTGATGTATGATTAATTAATTAGTAATTTATTTCTCAACTATCTCATGTCATTGCTACTATTTCTCTAAATGGTGTGTGTGTGTGTCCTGCCTCACATAGTATGTAGATGCATTACGCGGAAAATCAAAGGTAATCTTTACACTGCAACTGGATCTAACAATAGGAGTTCGACTACATAATGTATCTCCCTACAAGTACTCGACGATATCGCATTTGATGGATATATTCGGGCAGCTCTGGCCGACGGCGCTGCGGCCCCGGTAATTGGGGCTCTTCTCGGTGAGGAGCTTCCGGAAGATGGGCAGGATGGCCGTCTCGCCCTCGAGGAGCTCCGTCTCGCTGCTGGCCCCGTAGATGCTGCTCTCCTGCTTGCCCCGCTGCCTGCCCCGCTGCTTGTCCGGCGCCACATTCGGCGAACTGTGGTGGTGGGCGGCGTGCTGGATGTTGCTGCTCCTACTGACCTTGCGCGGCTGGACGCACGGCTGGCTGGGGGGCGGCGGATCCCGCTCCCGCTCGCTATCCGTCTCGCTCTGGCACACGGTGCCCTTCTGCGGCTTCGGCCGGTGCTTGTTGCGGTTCTTCTCCGAGACGGACCGCTGGATGGGCGAGGTGGTGTTCGGGTCGTATGCCATCCCGTGGCCGCCATGGTGCTCCGCACAGCGCTGCGGACTGGCGTAGTTGCGCGGCGACTGGCGCTGCTTGGCGTGCGACAGCGTGTGCGTGTCCCAGAGGTCACTCTGCGACACCACGAAGTTGGACTTCAGGGCGGAGCCCATGCTGGTGCGGCGATGGTCCGAGGCAGTGGGAGCTGGTCGGGGAAAAGATGTTAATTCGGAAAATTAATATATATTTCTCACTCAAAAATAGCTCTAAATTTAAAGTCAGCAAAAAAAGTCGCACATCGCAAAGAATCACTGTTTTGTGCAGCTGAGGCCCTAAACTATTAATTCCAGGTTAATATTTACAAATTTATTTTTTCACTGATTTTAGCATTTTTCATAAGGGGTTACACTTGATTTTTTTGCAAAAAATGGTCAAAAATAAAATTTTTTAGCTGTGAATGCCACTTGATTGGAAATTTTATAAGGAATTCAACGAGCATGTGACCATTATTTCGCAGCGCTTTGATTAAAAAACCGAAAATAGAGTTGATTTTTTCGTGATTTTGGCATCAAAAAATCAATATTTTAAAGGTGTTTTTGCTCTAACTTGGCTAAAATACGACGCACAGGCAAAAGAATGACTGTTTTATGCAGCTGAGGACCCTAACTAACCATTCCAGGTTGATTTTTACAAATTTATTTTTTGACCGATTTTCGCATTTTTTATAAGGGGTTACACTTGATTTTTTTGCAAAAACTGGTCAAAAATAATATTTTTCAGCTGTGAATGCCACTTGATTGGAAATTTTATAACGAATTCAACGAGGTATAACATTCCAACATGTGACCATTATTTTTAAGTTTTTTGATCAAAAAACCGAAAATTGAGTTGATTTTTATCGTATATAATTTGGATCTAGCCGTATACCATTTCTTATATTAGTAGTTCACATTTTCGGTCTTTTTTTTTACGACAAATTAGTCTAACATGTTCTCGATTCTGAGAACAAAATGCTTAAAAATCATTTGTGAACTAGAATTGAGTTTTGAGTTTTAAATTAAACTTCAAAGGGAGAATTTTTGATTTGGAGTGCAATGTATATGATTAATTCTCCCTGTGTTTAAATCTTTGCCCTTAAGAACAATTGTATTGCAAATTCCCCAACTTAAGAGTTACTGATTTTGTTTTTCATGGGGAAAATAAATGGATTTCCGCTTACTTTTGATCACAGCCGGAGTGCTGGGCTTGGAGTGGGGACACATGTTGCTCAGCTCGGACTGCGAGGTGGAGATGTTGGTGGAGGAGTTGCGGTGCGAGCTGCTGTATTTTGGCCGGGCGGTGGGCGTCTGGCTGCCGCTGTCGTAGTGCCGCGATGCGGTCGACTGGCGCCTCTCCCGCATGCTGGAGCAGTCCCCGGTGCTCCTCTTGCCCACCGTACTGGTGATGCTGCCGATATTGTCATCCGTCTGGGCCGACACCGAGTTTCGCTTCTCCAAATGGCGGTGATGTTGCTGGTGGTGCTGCTGCTGTTGCTGCTGTTGCATTTGCTGCTGTTGCTGTTGCTGCTGCTGTTGGTGTTGCTGCTGCATTTGCTGATGTTGCTGGAGGTGCTGCTGCAACTGCTGCTGAATGGGCTGCATCATGGTGGGAGCGGCCACATGCGAGTGGTGCTCCACAATGGATTGCTTTTTCTTTTTGCTGTTTGGGAAATATCATTAAATAATATATAATTAAACCATAGTTAATAGACTCACGGAGGAAGCGATGGCGCCATCACCGTAGACTGCACCGAGACGAAGGAGTTGTCCATTTCCACATGGGTTGAGGTCACACTGTCCACGGACGTCATCTCGGTAACTTCTATGGCAAAGAGGGCGCAATGCATGAACATATCTAGCAAGTCGCCCACTCTAATCACTCACCTGTCGTGCTGGGCATCTCTCGACGAACCGGTGGAGCCGATAGCCTTACTATATCATCGCTCAGGATGGGCTCCAGTTCACTGCCCACATTGGAGCCACCGGTGCAGGTCACCCCATCGATCCATTTGCGGGCCTCGGGTCCCAACTTGCGGATCAGGGCCTGCAGCTCGTTCTCCTTCTCCATCAGAGCCTTCCTAAATCGACAGTTCGTGTTCTTCACATCGCGCAAACGCTGCTCCAGTTCGCAGACTGATGAGTCCCTTCGTCCATTCTTCGACATGGGTCTCAACGTGGCCCTCACCCGCTTGTCCACCACGCCCTGGGGATTCCGTTTCAGCTCCACCAACTGCAAATCGATTCGCATGAATATTAACCAACAATAATACTACCAGCATAACATCTAGGAAGGATCAATTCTACGGATAGTGAGATAGGATAGTCTAAAGTATCCCAACAGCAAGGAAATAGCTTCAGTCTACAACCTTGCTGCTACTTGGATTGGCTTCTAAGAAGTACAAGTTTATAGTTAGTCTGTAGTGTTATATAGCATTTGAGGAACTGTTTTGAAAATTTCGAGTACATGTTGTTTCTGTATCAAGGTGTATCAGCGCTAGACGAAAGATCAGCTCAGTAGACGGTGGGGTCCGATCGGTCTGAATGCTCTAACCAAAACTGATCGGACCACCACCGCCTGCAAACAACATTCATATTAACATATAACAGCTACAAAAACTACAAAACTTCCTTACTACCAGTCTTACTTTCGGTACGAACACCAAACACAAAGTGGCTGTCGTACAAAAAATGATAAAAAACGATAGTAAGACAAAAACTAAATCCTTGCGATCCGATAGCACCAGGGATATAGCCGCTCCGGCCAGACAGGTGATGAACACATTGTAAACTGAGAAGCCAATATGCTTGGAGTCGTTCAAGGCGGGTATGGAAACATGTCTAGTTTCCCAGGCCAAAAAGGCACCAAATACCTGGGGAAAAATGAATTAAATTAAATATAATATATGCAAATAAATCCCTTTTATTTACTCACCAACAGCAGGCCTTTATACGCATAAATAATGCTAACGAATATTGTCATGTGCTCAGATTGGCAGTATTCATTCTTCGGGTATCACCAAAACATCATCAATATTCTCATGATGCTGTGGAAAAGAAAAATTGTAAATATTTGAATAGTATTTTAAATAAATCCACTCACCAGTGGCTCCATTTGTTTGGTCTCTCGGTAAAAGGGATCTGCAATCTGCCATGTGGTTATGATGCCTATATCAATGGCCAAAAGCACGCCGACAACCATAAACAACTGATAATCCTTGATAACCTTCTTGTTGAGTTTAAGATCGGTGAATATAGAGTGAACCCGCCATGTCTTCGAGAACATGGCTCCAAAACTGAGACTGAACCCAGCCATCAAAATCCAAGCTCGAGCGGTGCAAATATAGGGAAAAGCTGCCACGCTGCTCAAAGTGGTGTCCAATCCCAGGAAAATAATGCTCAGATAGGTCATCATACAGCCCACAATTATAAGATTGTTCAGGTGGGGACTGGACATCTTGATGTACCTAAAAAATGTGCAATGGAATAATTGAATAGCAGGAATATTCAATATATATAAAAAGGAATTGGCAATTGTTTTCAAGAACTCACCTTTGATTGCGATACTTAATGTTAAAGGCCAAAAAAACAGTTGCAATAATCACTCCAATAACCGAAGCACTAGCCGAAACAATATAAATAGTTGGATTTACTTGACTGTGCTCGATGTAAATCAGAGTTCGATCCTTGGGAGGTGTTTTCCCCACCCATTTCACTGGTTTTCCTAAACTCAAGTCCAGATGAGACTTCTGAGAGTGATATTCCCCGATCTTTTCCATTTGCCCCAACTGGAACTGATTGATCAGAATATTGGCCTTCCTTTCGTTGTTGTAGAAACGCACAGGTCCCTATAGTATAAAGTAAAATTAGCTTTAAATTAAGAATAAATATTTATAGGTTTACCCACCGTCACACCCTCGAAAGAGGTATTACGCAGAGCCTCAAGAAAGACGCTCTCCCAATCCTTGACTCGATAATCGAAATGTGTTAACAGATCCTCGCGCTTTTCGGCCACATACTGAATGGCTAAAGCGGCTGCCCAAATTCCATCGTAGGTATAACCATGAAAGCGGGAATATTCCGTACCCCGTAGTCTGTCATATTCCACCAGATACTCATCTGCAGTCTACAAAAAAATTGGAAAAAAAATATTAGTCGTATTCTTTAAGAAGTTATTAGCATATTTTGCTACTAACAATGCCGGCCACTGTGATGTCACCACTTGTGGACAGGGGCAGGAGATCCACAAGGATGGCTCCCTCCAAGGCAGTGGCTATCTCCTCCACACTGCACTCGCTGTCCTGGGTGACATTCCACCAATCTGTGGAATATGTGGCCATGATCAGCCACTGGTAGGCCCTTCCATACATGTCCAATCTAAAAGGAAATGATTGCATTAATATCTTAAAATTGCTAAGTAATATTTTTAAAAACTAATAAGGGGTCTATGTGGATAGGTAACATCGAATTTAAGTAATATCAGTATCTATTGAGGTAGATCCTTTGAAATATTATAGGTTTTCATTTACCAGTTCATATTATTCTTCACTATGAAATAATTAGCTTATTGTCAATCGTTACTTTTCAAGTCAAAATTGTATTTCTAATCAATTATCTAATATTAAGTACTAACAAAAACTACTTACTTGAAAGCCTCGCAGAAGGCCTTGCGGGCAAAGTGCTCGTTGAAGTTTCCCAGGATGATCCTGACGTCCTTCTCGCGGAGTTTCTTTAGCGATTCTGCCACATCGTTGACGAAGCTCTGGGTCTCCACCACCTCCACCTCCATGGCATCCAAGTCGGCCACCATGTGGTTGTGGGGCAGCGAGTAACGCGGCTCGTTCTGGTAAACAGTGCCCACCCTGGTCCAATTGAACTCCTTGAGCAGGGCCAATCGCGGGGCATTGAAGGCATTCTCCGAGGGAACAACGCGGAAGAAATTGGGGAACGCGTCCTTGGTGAACATGGGATGCGTGTCCGCGTAGCTCAGCTGGGTGAGGTGCCAGTGCTTGCTGGCCTTGGCAATGGGATCGGTTACGTGGGTACAAGCCGCCCCGAAGAGCATTACTTTGTTAGGGCCCGAGTGCATCATATCGAAGAAGGACTTTACGCCCACAGCAGCATTGCACTGAAAAAGAGGAGAAATTAGGAATTTCAAAAATAAGAGAAAGGTTTGAAATGTTCTATTGTGTAAAATTATTTACGTTAATTCTTACAGTTAAAAGTATTAAGGTAAAAGTTAGTGCCTTATCACTATCAATAATTATGATGCTTGCTTTCTAAAATATAATTTTGGAACTTTATGAAAATAATAATATTAGAAGAATTATGCCTTTCCAATGATATTGTTTTTTAAACATCAACAAAACAGAATAAATATATTTAAATAAGAAAAAATGAAAATCTTAATCACTACCTATGTAAAAAGGATGGATAATTATCACTTTATTTTTTACTACCCCCAATGAATCCTGATATTATTATATAACTGATTCTATAAACTCACCTGGGTGTCGTTCCACCACATGTGCAGCCTGTAGTTGGCCAGAATCTTGCCGTGCTCGTTAACGTGGCCGAGAGCCAGCTTCACGCTGGGCATCACCCCTCGGCCCGTGTAGGAGTTCTCCACCCCATCGCCGTAGGGAAAGAAGCCCGCGATGTAGACGTCCGATCTCTTGGCGGTCCTGCCCCAGGCGGTGCTCCAAAGGAGCAGGAAAAGCAGGCTGGCGAATGGAGTCCAACTCGGAAGGGACATGTTGACCGCGTGGGCTGCAAAACGAGTCTAAATGTGAATAGGGCATATCGAGGACGTGAACTTGGAGGTAAGTGGTGGGTGGCGGTGGGTGGTGGGTGTTGTTGGGTGGCTTCAGGTGCGCCAAGGCTGCCAAGGCAAGGCTGCGCCCTGTGGGCGTGTATTTTATGCCTTCTACCTGTATTTGTGGGGGCTCGCATGCAGTTGCACAGGACAGGTGGGGCAAGGCTAAGGCCAGGCCAGCAAAATTGCCACAAATTGCTGCAGCCATGCTGCCACGTTCGGTAATTATAAAGCAATTTAATGTTTCTATGGAGCCTTGCATTATTCAGAGTCCTTGTTAAGGCAAAAAGGAATTCCAATTGTGCACTTCTTCAGGTGTTCCACTCACTTAAAACTTATATTTTATTGCACAGTTGAACCTACCAGCTTTGCTTATATTGGAGTTTGATTTTATTTCACTAACGAACTCATTTTTCGCAAATATTTTAATTCAACTCTGAGCCAACGAAGAACTTTTGCAGTGCGAGGGTCCGAAAAATTATGTATCCCCCTGACTTGACACTTGGCTGACAGGAGGAATTCGAGGAGGAAGTGCGCATGTCCCCGATCCGAAAGCTGTGACAGCTCCGCCTTGGCCTAGGTTTTCCAACCCCCGAAGTTCCCCCCCAAAAACCAATCCATTTGGTAAACATCCTGCAACAGGTGGACCCATCAGCTGGTCCTGCGGCATTTGTTATGGCCGTTACCACGGACTACAGGGGACGGAAAAAAAATAGAAAACTCCTAAGGCAATTACCAAATTGAAAATTGTCAGTACCCATAATGGAGGACTATGCGCCAAGTCGCTATAAAATGCTCGAGAAAATCGGCGAAGGAGTCCATGGCTGCGTGTTTAAGGCCATCGATTTGCAGCGCAACAAGGAGGTGGCCATCAAAAAGGTGGCCCTCAAGAACAAATTCGGTAATATAGCTCTAAATACGTTAAGGGAAATCAAGACCCTGCAGCTCTGCAAGTCAGAATATGTAAGTTAAACTTGTATGAATATGGTATTCCATTAATCATTCAATTAACTCCAGATTTTGGGTATCATCGACATATATCCCGACCTGACTGGCCTCTCCTTGGTGCTGGAATACCAGCCGGACACCCTATACAATCGCCTCAAGAGCGAGGTGAATCCCCTGAGCCGCCAGCAGGTGCGAAAGTTCGCCCACCAAATGCTCAAGGGCATCGCCTATCTCCACGAGGCGGGTCTGATGCACCGGGACATAAAGCCAGCCAACCTGCTGATAAGCGATGCGGACATGCTCAAGATAGCCGACTTTGGACTGGCCCGTCTGTACTTCCCCGAGGAAGAGGCGCGTCTGTATTCCCCGCAGGTGTCTACGCGGTGGTATCGAGCTCCGGAGATTCTCTGGGGCAGTCAGAAGTACGGAACCGGGGTGGATATGTGGGCTGCAGGTAAGTCTTAACATTTTTTAAACAATAAATTGAAGAAATCCATCATTTCATTTAATAATATCACCTATGATTTATTTTAAAATGTTTTCGGGTGATAAATACGAAGCTTTAAACTCACTGCGCAAAGATATAACAAATATTCCTGAACAGATTTATTTTTTAAACTTATTTATTTTTACCAAGGAATATTCAAAAAGTGTAACTCTAAAGGTCTCCATTAATATTTATGTCATTACTTTAAGATTTGATTATCGGTTGTGTCAAAACAATATAATACTCTGAGAAGCGGAAGATATAACATTCTTTGATATTATTTTGTGATGGGTATTTAGTCATTTCATAAATTCTTTTATTTTAAATTCTTACAAAAGAATCTATATATAGATCGTATTATTATCCCAATTATTTAGGTTGCGTGGTGGCTGAGATGCTTCGAGGAGTGCCTTTGTTTGCAGGGACCACTGATATCGAGCAGTTGGCCATTATAATCCGAACTTTGGGCACTCCACGTTTAAATCAATGGCCGGAGTTAACTTCCCTGCCGGATTACAGCAAGATACGGTGAGTATAAGACTTAGAAATGATTACTGAGTATATAATTTTCCATTTCACTGCATAGCTTTCCAAATTCCGTGGGCATCCATTGGGACAACTTGTTTCCAAGCTGCACCCATGCGGTGGAAATCAATCTGGTCTCAAATCTAGTTGTTTACAATCCCAAAAACCGACTCAAAGCCAGTGAGGTAGGTTATTTTATAAGATATAAACTGGTTCACACTTTACAATCGTATATATTTTAGGCCGTCGAACATGATTATTTTCACTAGTTAAAAGACTATTTACAAAGGTATTGTTAGCATCTAAGAGTTTTCCGATTCTTTGAATCTGAAAGAGAGAAATACATGATTATCCATGGAATTAGATAGAATTTGATGACACCTACTTGCACTTGAGACAGGTGAAGAACACCGTTTGGCCTTCGTCCGCCGATCGAAGTTGCAGGGTGGCATAGGACATCTTGTCGTGGTTGCACTTGGGACACTTCCTTTCGACAACTGGGCCATCCGCTTCCGAGGATTCGGATTCCCTTTTGGTCCTGTTGAACACCTTTTCGGGATCGTAGGTGTTGAAGTGGATGGTAAACTCCGACTTCTCGCCGCTGTAAACTATTGGAAAATTAAAATAATATAAGACCACTCGAATATGGTGGAAATTCTTGTCTCACCATCTGGCTGAAACTCCTGCTTGCAGTTGTAGCAAATCACATTGCCCTTGACTTGCAGCTCGGGAAGAATGGAGCCGCAGGAGGGGCAGAAGCCCGAGCAATTGGAAAAAGTATCCATACTTCAAAACAAATCCAGCGAACCAAAATAAAAACAATTGCACGTGCTACCAAAGCAATTTAAAAGTGACCGTTACTCAACCGCTAAAATATACCAACATTTTGGACGAAACATACTACAATAAGTCATATAGGTGGAAAACTTTGCTAGTCCCGGTTGGCAACTTGGATGAATCGGGTGGAACCAGCTAAAGCGGTTATTGGGTATTTAACCCGTTTCGTATCTACAGTATGTTAATCAAATTTAAATTTGAATTATTTATGAACAAAACGAAAACCAATATGACAACTCAGTAAATCCCATAGGAATTCCAATGTGTACATAAACAGTAATCAATAAATAAAACAGCAGTTGTCGACTTTGATCAGTATAATTACAGTATATAAAAAAGCAATCTTAGGAGCTAAGTCAGCTGAAATGCAAGTCGGATGTGTACTCTGGTTCAATTAAACTACCTAAAACTATCACAGGCAGAACTTTAACTACAACTAAGCGTCTAGGAACTATTGATCCTTGCCCGCCGGTTATCGCACGGAATAAAATTAAAATTTGATATCACTTTAGAGATATCTTCTTTACAAGTTAACTAAAAAATCATCGAATATAACTCTCCGGCATGTTGAGCTCCCAGAGCTTCATATTGTTGTCGAGCACCTCGTGGAACCAGCTCTCCTTTTCCGGCTGCTCGCGGAAAACGTGATTGAGGGCCTTGAGGTCCAGCTGCAGGATGGCCTCGTTGCCGAGTAGCGCGTCCAGGGATCGCAGGAGCGTACTATTGCCATGCAGTTTCAGCAGGGTGACGTACCTCACCACATAGTACTCGTAGTGCAGCTTCCTTCTCGCCCATCGCTCCACGGTGGCATTACCACTGGCCGATCGAATAAACCCAATTTGCTCGGCGAACCAGGGTGCAAAGTAATTGTACAGATCCAGCTTGGAGAGCCCGTTCAGACCCTTGCTCTTGATCCGCTCCTTGATCATGCTGTAGTTCTTGCGGTTGTACACGAACACCTGGTACAGCGAATTGCCGGTGGTGTACGAGTTCACGTAGTGGGTGCCCACCTCCTCCATAAATCGCACTGCGGAAGTTATGTTCCCGATTTTGATTCTATCCATTCCTGATATCACATCCGGCTCCAATGGCTGGTGAGCGGGTATTTCGGTTTTCAGTCGTCCTGTTTCCCTGAAGCGCACCACCCGCACCAAAACATACGAGTAGTCGCCTACGAGAAAAGACGCATTGATGCCCAGCTTCTTGGCCGCATTATCCGGAAACCATCCGCCCGAAAACGCCTCCCATGGTTTGTCCAACCGCTCGATGGTGAAATCCCGGAAATAGGCCTGGAACAATTGCCTTCGGTTCTCGCAGAACTCCATGTGGAAGTCTCCGTGAAAGATCCCGGGCGTGGTGTCCTCGTGACTATCCACCAGGCCACTCAGATTCTGAAAGGGCAGGAAAATGAATTAGAAATGGGAAACTAATATAATCTTAAACTAGTGTTCAAGTCAGATACATTTGTCATGTGTGCTAAAAACATACAAAAAAGTTGTACTTCATTACAGCATATATCTAATTACAATTTAAATTGAGCAGCAATGACTTTTTAAACTAAAGATCATTTCCTCACAATCTGGTTAGCAAGCATGTGGTATATAAAATAAAAAGTGGGTCTATTCCAACACCAAACTTGGCGGAAGTATAAAAAATTGACCATAATTAAAAGTAATGTTTCTTGATAACAGCTTTGCTGTCCAACCACATTTTTGTTTTTTCCTCTTTAATGTTTATGATAATTGTGGTCAAAGATTAAATTAAATTATACAATTAAGTACTGATAGGGTCGGTACACTCACCCTGTATAAGTTCCTCGTGGGCTCCCTAAACAACCACCGGGCCGATTCCGGGCTATCATTATACGGTATCACCCGCATGGAGATACTAAAGTATCCGTAACGCAGGAACAAATTGATGGCCTTGCCGATCCGAAGCTGGGACTCGGCCCCATTTCCAGCCGCCAGGAGAGCCAGGATCAGCAGCCAGAAAAGGACGGGCCACGACCTCATCGCTCAGCATTCAAGGTAAGAACTATAAAGGATAATAAAGGGGGAGGCAGATGTCAGTTTTTCACTCTAGCTCCTTATCATTGCCACATTTTTATCCCGATTAAAACCCTTAAAGTGGAGTAACACCATTTGCTTATCATCAAAATAATTGATTATATTAGTGTAACGTTCGAATATTATACTCTATCTTAAATGCTATAATTTTATATATTATACTATTTCTCTTTTTAAAATGTCTTACAATGATTAGTGGGATATGGTATTTAAGACATTGTTTTCTTAAATAATTCTAATTGTTTGGAAATAATAAAGCCCAATAACAACCGAGAAAAAATGAATAATCAACTGATTACTGCAATGTGTAATTGGCAAGCTCTAGCATTTCAGCCTATAAATCAGTTTACCTTAGTAAGCAGACTGCTTAAATATGATTTAAACCGGATAGTTTCCTCAACAGCTGCCTCAATAGTTTGTTTATGTTTGAAAGCCAATGCAGTGGTTGCCATACAAAGGGGTTAACTATATGGCAATAATTGCAGGGCCGCCGTGTTTGTTTTTCCACTCCATAAACGGGGCGATAATTTAAGCGCACTCTAATTGGCCTTGAACCTTCGGTGGCGCTGAACTTGAACCGAGTAGACTTGAGTGTCGAGCTGCTCGGAGTGGATTTCGTAGAGGCCACCAGCTGGCGATGAGCCGGAGCTCTGCTCCGATCACCTCAAGCGGCTGCAATTAGCCGCAGGCTCTCTGGCCGTAAAAACAACCACAATGTGAAGCCATCAAAATTGGTTTGGCTGTCGTCGCATTGACTTGCAAATTATTTCCTAAAAACATTTTGCATGCCTCGTAACCGTTTTTTCTTGTTGGCCCACTAGCTGCTCATACCGGTTATGCCGTTCGCCAATATTTCTGGCCAGAGATTAGCATTATGGCCGGCCAAAGGAAGCCGCCAAGAAATTGGCCCAGGCCATAAGCCACTACGACATTCTAACAGCATGGCGAGGCAACATTTAATTCGAGCCGTTATCAGCAGAAAAGCGACGTGTTTGACGGGGCCAAAAACACAGAGGTTAGCCGGGTGTTAGCCACGTTCGTGAGTCACACCTGTCGCCCCGGGGCAGTCAAGCGTAACGCCAGACAAACAGCCATGATGACACTCAAATTGTTAACAATTTACGTGAACCATAAAATCTAGGCGTCGCTAAACTTGTCCAGCAGCAGCAGCAGAAAAAAAAAACATAAAAAAAGAGGCAAACAGAAAACAGCAGGAAGAGTGACTGAATGAAAATTGGCCGTAATGAAACTAGCCCTGAATGAAACAAAGGAATGAGCCGTTTGTCTGCCTGCTTCATGTTGAATACATATACTGCATATACTAATATATCTGCTCACGAGCTATGGGCAATTCCAGGAAATACTTGATTATACAATTTATAAATAAAATATAATCAGTTGACTAAGTAGCAAACTTGCCCCCAACAATGAACTTTAAAGATAGGAAACGCCCTATAGATGCCAACATTTTGCTTGCATTCCGGCACAGAATCCGACTTCGAAGGTTGTCAACTTCTAACAGAACAAGTATAACACCCTAATAAGCTTAGTTCGCCACGGCAAGACCACAAAAATGTCGTACAATTGCCAAACTTGAGCCCTGAAAGCCGCGTCCCGCTTGAAAGGCATGTGTTATATGACTTAATGATAGTTAGTTTTGGCGGTGGGGGTATTTACAATAGCGGATGCGTAACCTTGTGCAAAAGACCCAAAAAAGCGAGCCGGAGTTCGAGATGAAGAAGACGAATTAAATCAAAAATTCAATGCGCGCACTCGGACTCTAAAGCAAAGGCAACTAAAAATCAACTCGTTCAACTGTGACTCCCTCTGCACTGAAAGAAACACGTGACTTGGAATAGAAATAACAAGGTTTTTTGTCTAAGAGCTTCAAAACAGCTACTTTAAAACACTATTCTTTGAAATTAGGCTCATTAAAGTTTGTTTTTAAGTGATTTATTATACGAAAAAAATCCTTTTAATTTTGTGAACTACAAATATTATTGATATCAATATTTGAACTATTTTTCTGAAAAAATCGAATATTGGATGAACTGTTTAGATGTTTTCAAAGCGGGTCACGTTTTTTCTCAGTGCTTTACACTGTGGTAGACTGGAGCCCAGTCAATTGAAGATTCTTTATGCGCCTTTCATGCGCTCTTTTGTGGTAGTGGTCTGGAAGATTGAAGCCGGACGAAGGGCACCGACGTGGGGGCATAAGGTCTGCAGTTTATACAGTTTATATCGCGCTTAATTTTATGCTTGGTCCGTGCGCGTTGTTTCCTTGAGCGGCGTTAAACAAAAGTTGTCTGACTGCGAGAGGTGCTGCTGCTGCTATTTTCGATGTGTTGTATTGACTGGTGCGGTGTTTATTTACCTGCACGAGAACTCGAACGCGGATTGGAATTGACGTAACCATCAGCCAGAAGCGACTTTTGGGCAGAAGCTTAAGCTGTGGCCGAGACGAGGGGGGGGCTTTAGTTTACGCAGCTCAGAGTGGTTAGCCACTAGTTAGCCTTATCACTCTTATGCCGGGGGCCATTCCACAAGGCAGGCTGCCTTTGGCATCGTTGAGTCGAGTCCGAGTTGCCGACTTGCCGAGTTTTACGGCCTGTGGGTCAGAGGTCGCGGTTGGCGCCCTCAAGTGATAAGCCGATCTATGAATAGATCACGGGGACGAACTGAGATCGAATTACATTCGCGCGGATTTCAACAACCAGCACAAGCACAACAAACACACTGCACACAGGCAGGCAGTCAGTCAAGTACCCTGAACACCGACACTCACAAAAAACCGAGCGGCGACGTGCCTTCAATTGCAATTAAAAAGCCGGAATCGCGGCAGCACTTACACTCCAAACGCGATCAGCACAACTTCCAGCGCGCAGACTCAAAACCAAACTGAACTGAAACTGGCTACCAAAACTCGATCGCCGGAGAGAACAAGCCGCCGATCAGCAGCGGTAGCAGCAGCAATATGTGTTGCGCCACGCCAGCAACATGTTGCTGCCGTCGACCAAGCGAATGTTGCAGCGACAACAGTTGCAGTTCATTGACTGGCGGCCAGCAGAAGTTCTACTCCTCCAACGGTAATGGCTCTGGCTAATGCTAATGGCCTGGCACAAATATCTATTGTTGACATCTGCCGCTGGGGGACAGCTTTTCCGCTTATTAATATTTCCAAGCACGTCGCCAACTTCCAGTTTGGTTCAATCGAAGGAGAAGGCGGGGGAGTAGGAGGAGGAGGTGGGTTCCCTAAACGAGGCAGATTGAAATGATTGCAGTTTGCCGGGCCAGACTTGCGCAAGACAAGCCATAGAATCGCGTGGCCAGTAATCAGCAAACTTTTGGTACTGTCTGTTGCGCAAAAAAAAAACAAAATATACAAATTAATAAGTCCAAAAGTAAGCCGAAAGAAAAAAAAAAACGAAAGTATCAAATTCGCATTACCTTGAAAACAAGCTAACAAATTTGGGTCAAGCTGTGAGTGCTGGGCGACAACGTTTGAACACTCGAAGTGTAATGTTTCAATTAGAAGCTTAAGATACAAATGTATCTGTGGCTCGACAGTCATGGCTGCAGGGCATCCGCTTTGTCACATTGCCTTGACTGGCCATTGAGCATTTCTGCGAATTTCGCCGTTGGCTTTCTAAGAACTCGAAAGGTTCTGAATTTGAGTCTCTTTTTTTTTTTTGCAGCGGAATTGGGGTTTTTTTTCTTTTTAGACTTCCGAAAATCATTGCAAAAGCTGGTTGAAATTGTATCTCTCGTATATTTTGTTCTCTTTTCATATATAGAAGTTCTTTTTATTAATTTTGTTTCGGTTTCAGTGTGGGTTTTTGCTTTGTCTTTGCTGCATGCATGATTCAAAACTTATGTATTTAAAATTCGGTATTTCAGTGTTTACTCGTTTTTATTTAATTCTCATTCCCGTTCTCAGCTTCGTCGGTTCTGTTTCATTTTAATTTATTATTATTAATCCCATGTTTAAACTATGTATATATAATGACATTTTTATCATTTATTTTAAATGATATTTACTAACGCCGCGGCCTTCTGCGCCCCAATCGATCGATCGATCCATCTGTCGATCCATTCATTTCATTTATTATTTTAATAACAATTCACTCAATTAGCTCAAATCGCGTCAATCTACACATATTGACATTGGAGATCATAAGCATTTTCAACTTCATCTTCACCATCATTACCCTCGCTATCATAATATCATCATTGACTTATGAAATTAGAGAAAAATTCTAATTCATTTGGTTTCCGGGACCATTTTCATTTCGTCTCATTTCTTTTTTATGTAATATCAACAATAAATTTTTACTTAATCTTAGGGTGAAATTATTCTTAGAGTACAGCTACAATCTGCTCGCAATCGGCTAAGAAAAAGAGGATCAATTAAAAGTACGAAACGAATCCTTCGAAATCCTAGCTCAATCTCGGGATATCCCTTTCGATTTCCCCTACACTCAATCCATTTCAATCGTTCCTAATCATTGTTATACCGTAAAATATAAGATTTTGATTTGAGCATTCTTCCTAATCATTTCATCATTTTTGGTGTTTTCTGGCACACCCATCCTTGGTTGGGGTGTCCTCAAAATGTACATACATCCATCGATAGCCGTGATCCTTATAAGGTTCCTCCTCTCGCCTCGTCCCGTTAAAGGTATAATACTTATTTAATTTGGCCACTTGGCTGCGTTTGTGGTTGTGGGTAGGTAGTTAGTTCTTCAGTTTTTCGGGTAGGTTCGGTTGTTCTTTTTTTGGGATACTTCTATGATTTGCATTGCCTCACTGCTATCTCCTCCTTGCACGCTCAGAACCGAAAAGTTATAGCCCAGCGTCTAACGATAATACTCTATGCAAAATTGTTCAACCATTTTGAAACCATAGAATTGTTCTGGATATAAGTATGTTATTCTTGTGTGGTGTGCGGTTGGGAAATTCAAGTGGGTCGTGTGGTTGGGCTCGAATCAAGCTCAGGCTTAAATTGTTTTTGGGGGGGACAGCTAGAGAATTGTGGCACGTGTTTACAAATGTGTGGTGTTCGGTTTAATACTAAGTTCGATCTCAAGTGTGGTATATTTTCGATTTTCCTATCCCAAAGTTTGGGGATCGCCAACTACATTTAGTAGGTGATTGCATGTGCACTCCGTAGTTGTAGTCTAAATTCTGTTCTGTTTCTGTCCATCTCAGAAGCTCTATGTGAGGGAAGCTAATACAAAATGTACCTTTCGGATCTCTCCTGGGGAAAAAAGCGAAATTACTGAGCGCTGGATGCTGATTATGAAGCTGCACTAAAAAAATGCCAGGTTTCTTGATTGCTAAGACAGTTTGTTTTGTCGGTGTCATTGTAAAGTATCTCAAAATTTGAAGCTGCTGCTTGGGTGGTTACTGGGCCTGTGGGTGTACGATTAATTCAATTTCAATTCAATTCAAAGCGACTTAAGATCTCATTCGATTCGGTTGTGCTAAACACTGTACGATTCCGATCATCGTTTCAGTTTTTGGGTCTCCTTGTTAGGTTCTCGTTTTTTGGCTGTGGGTTAAAAGGAAGCGCTCCGCTATATTATTCTTATTGAACTTGACTGATTTTCAATGTATCCAACCTGAGTTTGAGTTGTTCGAAAAATATATATATGTGTGTGTATACATATTTTCTCGTTTTCCTACAATTCATCTTGTTTTATGTCATATATTTATACGTGTATTTGCCTGTTTTGCGTTGACCTGCAATCTCCTCTTTCCTTTTTGCTAATTATTTTAATTCGTAATTGCAGTTAGTATGTGTGTTTTTGTGCTCACTCTATGTTTTTCCATTTGTTTACTTTGCTTTTGCTTGAATTAAACGCGGCTGCAATTATTATTATGTTTTTTTTCTGTGTGTTTATTATGTTTGATTGCATTTTTTGTGGTTTACTCATTTCTCATTGAATTCAATTAAACGTCAACAATTTGGTATTTTGGTATTATATGTTTTTTCTTTTCCTTCGTGTAGTGTTGTGACTGGAATTAATTTTTTTTTTTTTGGTTTTTCTGTTACCTTTTCTTTATGTTTATTGCATTTAAAACGTGCACTTTACCACTGTCCTTACTTGATCTTCCATATGTAATTAATTAGTTCTTACTTGGCTTGAAACACTTGAAATTGCTCACATCGTAATTTGTTTATTATTTTCTGTTCTTCGTGTTCTTGTTGCTGTTATGTCTCCTTGTGTCTATGTTTAATTATATTTAATTACGTAGTTTTCTCTATAATTTACTAACTCGTTCAACGCCCTATCTCTGCTCACAAGACTCTCACCGGAAATAACTTTTAAGTAAAAACAATTTGGAGTGATTCGGTTCCTGTTCGGGGTTTCGATTTGTCTACCTCCAGTTAACTTAGACACTAACAAGTGCAAGATTTACATAAGCGTTTAATGCTGTTTTGACTAATTGTGGAATAAAAACAATACAACAAAACAATAATCGTAAAAATAACACAATGAGCATGGAATGGCAAATACAATCGGTTAAAAATAATACAAATAAACGTTCAGTTAAAAACGGAAAACAAAATAAAGAGGCAAATACAAATTGGTTGTTTGACAATTAACACTTTTGTCTTTGCGTTGCGAGCGCAGTTCCCATAATACCCATCTACTCTTAAATTATATAGCTCGGCGCCAAGCGCCTTCTATCCATCCTCCAATACTCCAATCCTCACTGTCTTCTTGTAGTGGTTGCTGTTGCTTCTTCAGTTGCTGTTGTTTGTGCCTTGGTAATACTTTAATGGTGTGTTGTGGTGATGTGGCGTGTATCTGTATCTGTATCTTCGTTTGCATCTGGCCCTCAGTAGAGCGCCACGTTGGAGGCCTGCGTGTAGGCGTCCCACTCGCAGTCGCAGCCCTCGAGGCAGTCGGGGCATTCCAGCTCGCTGTCTTGTCAGTACAGCCAGGAAACGGGCACCCACTGCGGGGTGGTGTGCACCCGGTCGATGGCCGTCTCCAGCGTGGCAATCGTCTCGCTGATGTCGTTGTTCACAATCGTCAGGTCGAAGAAGTGCCCGTACAGCTGGCGCAGCATCTCCGACTCCTTGGCCAACCGCTCCAGGCTTCCATCGTACTGCCAATGGTAAAATAAAGCAATTAGTGGGGTTCGATTTTGATCCATCTCCTAGTATTGTCTCACATCTGCTATATTCTGCAGCGAGGGCGCCGCTATGAATACGACATAGGGCGTGAACTCGGCCGTGCGGAGTATCTTCAGTGCCTGCGGCTCCACATCCAATATGGCCATCTTGCCCTCGGTGTGAATACGCCGGATGGTGTCCAACTTGGTGCCGTACATGGCATCCTCATGAGTGCCTGGAAGGGTACAAGGAATTAATGGGATTTATTTGTATGTGGGGTTTGTCTGAGTTCCTTACCGTATTCCAAGTACTCATTCGCACCGATGTCCGCCATCATTTCGTCGTGCGACACAAAGTAATAGCTGCGTCCATTCTCCTCCTCGGGCTTGGCAGGTCTCGTTGTATCTATAAATTGAGATATATTATTACTAATTCTCACACTAAATTGTAAACCCTATTGCCAATTAGTTACAAAATATTTTATAAATACGAAATCAAACGGAAATAGCTATTACCTGCACAACAAAATGTTTAGTAATTATTACTCTTGCGGTGCTAATTCATTATTATTACCAACCCATTAACTATATGTTAAATTAAAGGTAAATATATAAACGCATTATATTTTCATTTTTGGACGATAAATTAAGCGAGCGGTAAACTAGATATAAATCTGTTTAAGACTTTAAAATGAGAAA